TGGAATTGGCCAGGGGATTGCCAGTTGTTCATCGATGCTGCTGGGGATGGCCCGGGAGAATTCTCGTCCTTCACGGATGGGCCTGTTGACGTTTGAGTTATACCCCCGGGGGCAACGATGGCGGACGGGGGCGCTTCCATAGTGTTTGGGATGGTTTTGAGGTGATTAAGGTGTCTTTCAAGAACAGTGAGGAGGCTCTGTCGAGTGAATGGTTTGGGGAGGACGTCGTTCATTCCTAAAACGCTTTGAATCAGTATGGAGATTCATTCAAGATGCAAAATTTAGAAATGGCTTATCCGAACCGTGATGGAAATAGAGTTCAATGTCACTACTTCGAATATTTGATGTCATGGCGATTATTGGTGTGGAGTCAACTCTCCTGATTACACTGCAGGCGGACACCCCATCCAGATTGGGCATGATAATGTCCATCAAAATGAGGTCATACTTAGACCCTTCCTGAATCTTATGAACGGCTTCCAGACCGTCAAGCTAGTATTACGTTAGAATGGAAACAAAGAACAATTTGAATAATAACAAAAATCTACATACCGCATAATCGACAGTACAGCAAAACGAGAGCAAAAACTTTCCTCCAACTTGGCGACAAGTTTGATCATCCTCAACGAGAATGCGCGGCGGAGAAACCCAGCCTGGGTTAACATACATACTTTTCTTGCGACCATCCACATATTGCCGTCTTGGGTCATTAGGATCCAGCTCCTTTGGCGGGAAGGAGTATGGCATGTTATTGACATGATCGCTGTACAAAGGCTCAATGCCATTGGGCGCACCAACGGGATAAACCATCTGTTCCAGTTCACCATTCAGCTTAGAGTAGCCTAGTGTTGAGCTTGAGCCAGCCGAAGTAGGGGGCCGTAGTGTCCCATTCCGTTGTGTCTGATCTAGAGGTGGTGTTGGTGCAGCTCCTGGAAGCCGACTCTGCATGTCACTCATTGACTCGAGACTACCCAAATTGAGTTGGATTTCGTTGCTCAGCTCGCTCAGGATTTTGGAAGCATGTTGTAAAGGAGAGGCCGGGTCGTCATCAACATGGGCTACTTGGGAAGGGCTTAGATCTGATCCACCTGCGCCCTGGAATGTTACTGTTGCTGTTCTGCTTTCTCTTCTGTGCCTCACATCCACGCCATGTAGGTAATTCATCATGTAGTGTAGAACCTGCTCGTGGCTTAGCATTGTCTTCTGGGCTCTTCTGACTTCTGTTTGCATCATCTGATTTTCCATGGCCAATTGTGTAAAACGATCGCTTAGTTGTTGGAACTGTTGGGCCTGGGCTACAAGCTGTTGATTCAGCATGTCGAACTGTTGGCTAGGGAACGATTCATCGGTCATCTGGGCCGGTTTTCGAGGAGCAGGGGCTTTCCTCCTGATATTATCCAACGATTCCTTGTTGTTGGCTTTGAACTCTGGGTGCTTAAACTCCCAGGCCTGGAGAAACCATGGCATTTAGTACTGGCATCGTTGCGAATAACATATATGGGGTCCATGTGATGTTCGAGAATTGAGACTTACATTAGGCCCGTAGGGCGATTGGCCAGACTCTTCGTTATTTTGGCGAACCTTGTGGAAGTCGTATTTGTTGAGTTGTCGGACGAAACTTGCGAAATTGCTGTGTTTGAAATGCTTTGGAAGGATTGATTTGGTGAATTTCTCGCACTAGAAGCAGTTGACAGAAGGCAGTCAGATTTCTAATGTCCATGATCCATTTCAGTTTGTAGCTTCTCTCTATGTGCGCCTTACCTCTAATACGACAAAGCTGTCGTTGTCATCTCCCCAGCGCACGATTTGCGAGTACGACGGGTCTTCGAGCATCCTATAAACAAACACACACACGGACGCACACAAGGCAGAAAGTCAGAATATGTTCTTGGAAGAATAATCATAAACGCTCATACACTGAGTTTTAGACACAAAACTCCGTCAACTGCGATCGGGGAGGTATTTACTTGTAGAGTTTTCGAACCTAGAAGAGACGGACGCTCAAATTAGTAATGCAACATTCGAGAGATTAGATATAACACATATATACTATGACATATAATAATAAAAAAAGAATGAAAATAAATAGACAGAAGAGGGAGAGCAGGGGATAATCTCACAAAATCGCTAGAATTGCCCGCGGTGGTAGTACCCGCCGTTGGGGTACTGTCCAACGCCATGTTTATTTCAATGGCTCAAGGTACGATTGTGGCGATAGAAAAGATGAGGGAGGTTCTGGACCCCTGAGGAGATAAGATCACGATAAAAATGAAAATGAAAAATGAAAAATGAAACAGTGGAGAGCTCAATGAATTAAGCACCAGTCAGCAAACAAGGGATAGGATTGGAGGAAGAGGTTTAAAGAAGGGTGTTGGAAGGGTTGGTTAAAGAAGGAAAAGAGAGTTGGGAGAGCAAAGGAAAATTAAAATATAGCGAGAGGAGGGGAAAGAATGAAAGAAAAAGAACAAGAGAAGGAGGAGGAGGAGGAGGAGGAGGGGAAGGGATTGGATTGGTTGGGTGAGGGGAGGAGGGGAGTTTGGAGTTGACTTGTATGAGCTGGAAGTTAGTTTAGTGAGCGTGGGTAGTGAGGGTAGTGAGGTTTGTGAGGGAGAGAGTCGTTAGTAAGTGAACGAGAATTGTTTATGTTTGCAGAGTGCTTTTGAGTTCTGCTGGCGCTGTTGAAGTGATTAAACAAACTATCTTGAGTCGGACCGAAACTTTCGAGCCGCTAATTAGAGAGTCGGAGAGTCACCAACCAGAAGTCAGCGCAGATTTTCCGACAGGACAGGGTGAAGACGGGATCCAGAGCCTCATAAGCGTCTGGTCTTCAGACTCGGGCGGCAGATCAATTTAATATTATTATATGGGCCGAGGGTGAGTGAGCGGGTGTTGCGTGTGCATGTATGTATATGCGTGTGTGCAGTTATGTTGGGTGGAACTGGCGATGGCGATAGGTTGTAAATAGTGCTGCTGCTGCTGTACTAGAGAAGATAGCAGAACAGGGACCAGGTGTGGGTGTACTACAACGACTTGGGACAGTCGACCAGATGATGGGGATGGTGACGGGGAGGGGGTAGGAGATATGGGATGAGGTGGTCGTCGTGGGTGGTCGTCGTCGTCGTCCTGGTTGGGGGTGGTGGTGATAGTGGTGGGCAACGGCAAGCCACGGGTGGAAGAAGACGAAGACAATTGTTGAAGATGGCTGTTGATCACAACGGCGGGCATTGGAAAGCAAACGAAAGAAAAGGGAGAAGAAGAAGAAGAAGATGATGATGATGAAGAATGGCGGGGATCAAGGAAAGACGAGGCTATTATTATTCTCTATTTCAATAATAATAGCTTCATGTCGGGTGGTGGTAGTGGTGGTAGAGTGGTTGTAGCGGTTGTAGCGATTGTATTGGGGTCGTGTGTTAATTAATAGTTCATCAGTCATCAGTTAAGTAAGGTAGTGAGCGAACAAACTGCTAAAATGAAAATTAAAATAAAAAAATAAAAAAAAATAAAAAAATAAAAAAATAAAAAAATAAAAAAATAAAAAATAAAAAATAAAATAAAAAAAACCACAAGTACGAATAATATTACGAGGATGAGAAATAGAGAAGGGGACCTCTGGGATTAAAGATGCAAAAAGCAGAACGGAATTCAAGCAACCGGGAATTAATCACAACTAATAGCAGCGAGGAAATATTAATTAACAAAGAGGAAGTACTCCACATTTTGCTCACGGATTGCTCGGGAACTGTCACTGCTGAGGCAGCCGCTACAACTGGAAAGATGTAGTTAATTATGATAAAATAAATAACTTAATTAACATTAGCCAACTAAGTAATAATTGGAAACAAGCTCAGTAGTTAGTTAATAATGCATTAAAAATATGAATAACTAGCCCTAGTAGCCATGGACAGCTATCCTTCTTCCAGGCCCTCTCCCCATATCTTATTTTACGTGCTGACTCAGGAGAAATATTCTCCTCCATCTCCAAATCATGGACTTTTTACCTTCCCATATAACTGTCGTCATACTCCGAGAACAACGAAGATGATTATCTGGTACATAGTCATATAGTTAACTATATAACTAAGGCTCCATCTATTCCTAGTGGGGTCTATTCCTTTGACTGAACTGTGCCTAACGGGGGCTCTTAGTCCAACGATAGCGACCGAAGGTTGCCCTTCTCATCCGGGCTCGGCTCCACACATGAACAAGAAAGATGGCAAATATTTAGGATAAAGTAAATAAAACTTTGCAAAAATCCGGTTTTCTTTTCTTTTCTTTTCTTTTTCTTTTTATTTTTTTTGTTTTTTCCTCCCCCTCCCCTTCCCCCCCCCTTTTTTTTTTCTTCAACTTCTTAGGTACCTTGGTTACGCAGGCAGGTATGGCACATTGGTCCGCCCTCTTTATTCTCGTAGTTCATCATACCCAAGTGGCTGTAAAGACGGGTTAGCTATCAACTGTGCATTATTTGCATTACTTTATGTGAAAAAAGGGGGGAAGAGAGTTATCCTTCTAAACGCCCTGTTTTTATTACCTACCTACGTACACCTAGTTAAATAGTTATGCAAGTTCTTTTCTCACTATTTGCCTCCTTTCTCCCTCCTCCCCGACTGCTGCCGTCAAATTTAAGTGACGTGCACTAACAAAAAGAGACGGTGGGTCGGATGGGGCCCAATTTGGCGACAAGTAGCGACGCGGATGCCAGGGAGGCAAAAGTGATTATAGAACCGCTGATTTTTAAGGGATGAGGAAACAGCATATACAATATTACATACAAGTAACTAACTAACTAGGTCAAGTGGATGAAGGATGGGTGGGATTGAGAGGTCAGAGTGCGAGAGAGTACGAATTTCAAAATAAAGTCCATTACCTCGAAACACTTCACTGTTTGCGATACGGGTCGCCAGGGGTCTGTAATTTTGAGAATATTCCAACAACCCCACTCCGTCCAATTGAATTTTTGAATCTCCTCATGAAATTCTCTGCAGATTGCATGCTGTATCACATACCAAGGATCAATGCCCTTCTCTCAACCCCACGACAGGCACCTTGTAGACATCATTCATTTTCTTTCCCCTTGTTTATTTAAAAAAGGAAAGAAAAACATGCAGGAAACTTTCACTTTCCAACGGCACATGAAGAGAGACCACGTTAACGGAAGCCTGATCGACTTCATGCGCAGGTGAAACTGCAAAAGGGGGAGAACGGGGAAAATCAGGGTTGGTTAGGGCTGAAGATCGTCCTTCATTCGACATCCAACTAAATCCGAGTGTTGATTCATCATGCAGAGATTTTATCGGAGTAAATAAAATCATGGTGATCATAGATATCAGATCAAGACAGCCGTGGCCAAGGAAAACGCTGGTTTTTCCAACCTTTTTTTTCCCCAAATGAAAAGGGGGGAGAAAGAAAAAAATATGCGAATGAAATGAGATAGGTTGGCTGTTTCGAGTAATCGTAGCAGGCAGGGAGTAGGTACATACATAACTCTCTCTCTTAGATATTTTTGCCTTTCAGGTGATAAGATATCGGGAAGATCGACGTTGTTTTTGCCGTAGATATGTGGGTTAACGACTTGCATGCAGTTGAATGCTCACATCTGAAGTTATGATCCCTGTACCTTTCGTCATCGATCAACCATGTCGCCGTCATCATCATCATCATCAACAAACGGGCGTACAGTTGAATGTTGGTTTTAAGAAAGTTGAACATGCTTTGAAAATTCGACCCGAAAAATCTTGAGCTGGTTTAAACTTTCAGACCATGACCCCATTAAAACTACATTCACTTGGTCATATCTCACAACATGTTCTCTATATGCTCTTGATGGTAATAGTGATTTGATCATATTTCTCAGGCTCTTATCCTTATCCTTAACTAACCCTAATCTACCTTAGTTCTAATCCTAACCAGACCTAACCATAATAACCAACCCCTAACCCTGGTTTCGAGTGTAGGGCAGAGTTATGTTAGAATGTGGTTATTTTGAGGGGGAACCAGAGTTGATCAAGGTTTTAAAAAAGTGGGGCCCAATTTATAAACCATATTCGCCTGTAATTAGCCCACATCATGACAAAACAACCCATGCCAAACGAAAAATCGAAAAAAACATCTGGGAAGCAAAATGACCAGTCAAAAAATTTCCCCTGACGCAAATGCACAATTTAAAAGGAAACAGAAGGGTAAAACACGTTCACATTCTCACCATAACTAAGCGATACATCCCGACGGCGTCATCTTCCTTGTTTCACCGTTTAGATTTACCCCTTTCCCCCCCCCCCCCTTAGAAGTATTGGCCCTCTTCCACTAAAAATACAACCCCGCCTTCTACAAGTTCCAGACCACGCTTCTGACGAAGGCCAGACCGTGCAAGCTTTATTTAACTATCCTCGAGGTTCACAGTAGTGCAGAAACGAGCCATTGTTCGACACTATGTGTCAGGAAAATTTATCTTTTGTTTACACCATGATCTTCTTGGTGAGGGATTGGGAGGAGGAGTAAGGTTGACTATTTATTTAAAAATTTCCCTTTCTCCTTCGTGTTGAACCTATAATTAACTGCTCCGTAACTAACAAGTCCCTTGTCTTGGTAAATAATCATAGGGGCAGCCATTGAGTGAACTGAATTGTGGTTGCTGTATGTATTCTCTTCTTCTCAAGCCACAATTTCCCCGGATTTACTAGGAACTTTAAATATTCTGAAGAAGTTCGAGAAAGTTTATCTCTCATATCTAGAGAAACATTGTGTACGTCTGTCGATTTATTCTAGAAATGTTTCCTTTGACATTTCCTTGCTTCATTCGATTGGTGAGATATTCTCAGCACATATACTAGATCCATACCTTGCCCGCGAAGGACGAAGTAGAGCCATGATCAATGAAAAAAATAAAATAAAATAAACGGTCTAAAATCCAGAGGGGAAAACAGAATGAGAAATGAAAAGCCCCTACAGGATCCAGTTGGCAACAAAACTTGCTGCGGGATGTGACTTGCTTTAACGAAACGAATTTTGGAAATCGAGGCCGAATTTGCAGCGCTTCCGCTCACATAACTATAGTTTCCCTTACCTATCGCCTACGCACACTCCTTTCTGTTTCGCTCCAACCAACCTCAACTGCAGAGCCTCATTCTCCCGCCAGGGTGCACAGCAAGGAAAATGAAAAGGCGGGGATTAAAAAAAGAAAAGTTACTTTTCTACACGTTGATAGTTCAATTACGTATATTTGTGGAAGTATGTGACAGATCAATTTGTTTTTCCGTCAGGCGCTCACGCTCAACTAGATGGTATCCTCGTTCCATGGAACCGCCCTCCAATAGAAAAAGGGGGATCTTGAGATCATACTGTCATATATGCATACCTTGGTTCAAGTAGCGTGTGTATGTTTAAATTTTTCTCAAAAAGCTAACCTTGATTGATGATAGCTGAAAGCAGTCAACCAGGAACACATGCATCCATAGTTTGAAGGTGTGGAATATTCTTTCTGGGTTGGATGGTTAGGCTCGTACATAGGGACTCTTAAGAGATAAGAGGTATAAAGAAGAGTTTTTAACGCATGTGCAATAGCGTATGATGTCAACGAGAATTTGGGATATTGTGCATACCAGTGTATACTGAACATGGGGATCCCGTTGCAATAGATAGTGGAAGCATTACATTTGAAAGAAGAATGAAAAATACCTTAGGAGATTAATTCTCCGCAAGTAGGTAGTTACATGTACATCGACAAGTATGTTCTCTATTATAAAGCGTCATTCATATTAATATCATGGCGTCAACCATGGCGTAAACATGTACGTCCTACACACTCTAAGTATCAGATGTCATGAGCCAATGCAATTATTGTATAAGTTTGCATGCTTTGCGTGGTTAGGTCACAGATCCCAAGTGTGAAATCAATTTTTTTTGGGTGGGTCCCTGGGAGTACTCCGGTCAAGGGTAGCTTGTTGGTGTACTCGGGATAGTTCACATCGTGCAGTGAGAAAGTCTTCAAGTCGACCCTCTTTAAGTTCCTGGACAAAAGCGGCCCTTAGGTTTTGTTCTGTGTATCATATACCAAGCACCATACACTGGAACAAGAAGGTTTTGATCATTGGCAAGAATTGGATAGTTAAGTCGGGTAACTGGCGAACTGATCATTCCTCCAAGGTTCATCAAAGGAGGGGAAGGACGAGAGATAGCGGCAGTGTGGTTGATGGGCTAAGAGAGGTGGTTGATGATCAATGTTGGCGGGGTGGTGTGGATGAAGGTCTGTGTGTTCAACCAACTAGTTGTAGACTAAGGAAACAGAAAAGCAGGAAAATAGTCTGATAGATAGATGGAGTTGCTCCTATCCCCCTGAGTTCTTGTTCAATTACTAGGTTCTCTTTCTTGATTTTTTTCATCCTTGCTTGATAGGTGGTGCGGCCTTCCTTGCATTCGCCAAAAGAGGGGTGGGGACGGAAGAAGATAAGGTGAGAAAAGGTCAGAGGGGTGGGAGCTGAATAATTTGGGCATCTGTCGTCCATTTCCCCGGATCTGTGTGACTGCATTAGCTGCTTGATTTTGAGACTAACTTCGAGAAGATTAACATTCTTGGACATCTCCAGAGATATGAAGGAGGGACAGCAGAAGGGTTCAATTCTCTAAAGCCACTTATTTTCTCTGACCAGCCGTCGGGTGCCTTCTCTGTTGTTAGAGTTAACGAGCCCTGGACCCTTCTATACGATAAGGCTCCTTTAAGATTCAGATTGGATATCCAAACAAGAGCTAATACCAGATTTGGGAGCCAGTAACAATGGTGCAATGACCCTTCTTTTCTTTGGCGTGACTATCAGTAGAGAAGTACGCCTGTTCAGGAGAAAACCCAAGGCCTCCGTTCTCCGTACAAAAGTGGCGTAAGTTTGTGACTCGCGTAATAACCCCACCCCCAGACCAACCCGCAGAAAATTGAAATAGGTAGTTATACCTAAGTAAGGAACAAGGTTCTGAGACCACGTTTTCCTCAGGGAATTTATGTGAATCTAATGAAACGTGGTTGTATTTGCAATCTGACCCTTCAGAATCATCCTGTGAAATGCAGCCATCCCCAACGAGCAACCACTGAGGTTTTGCCGATTCCTGCGGGGAAAATGGCGATGTGCTTTTTTAAAGCCAAGCAGCGCCTTTGGGCGATCATCTGGGGTATCGTGCCAGCCTGAATGTCAATATCGACCCATCGAAAGGGCTAACTGGAATCACGAGCGCGGTTCTCTGGGTCAATCACAGCTACTGCAACCAATCTGTAGCCTGCGTTTACCACTTCATCGCGGGGAAAGATTTGAAGAAATCTTGATGGCCCCAATTCACCTTTATTTTTGGCTTGGCAGATCATATGAGCAAAACGGGATTTTCAACAGGATGGATACTTTGATATGGACTTGAGTTGGAACAACCTTCCTTTACTTAGTTAGTTGAATGAAGGAAACGCCAAGTTAGCGAGCACATGAAGAATGTGAGATCGTATCCCTAACAATACGGCGATACGAGAAGAAGAACTCCAGGCGGCCCAAAGGACCAGCTGAAAATAGATGAAAGCAAACCTGTGTCTCCAAATGCGTACCGGAGGTCATCCACGTCGCAACTAGTTGAAGAATCACACAAAGTCAAAAGCGCCTCCGCAGTTAATATGGAGAGGATTCATCCCATTCAATGATTTAGTATCTGTCGAAGATATATGATTGCCTTTGGTGCAGATCCAAGTCGTTTGTGTGTCCATTGAGAATTTGCGATGCGTGGTTTAAGTTCTTATCCTAAATAGGGCGAGAAGAAAATCGGTTAGGCGGTTTGGTTGGTTGGTTTGGTTCCTGGAACAACAAAGACCCACTCCCGACGGCCTTAAGGAGCTTCCAACGTCACAACTTAACTTTCTACCAGCAGACACTTTCGCAAGCCCCAGTTATGATCGACTGTAGTCCAATGACCCACTGATCTTCACTCTTATCAATATTTACACTTCTCCATAATTATGTTTGCAGCCAGACGTTTCGCCGCCAGAACAATTCCCCGCGCTGGCCAAGCCGCTGCTCTATTCCACAGCACTCCCCCTTCTTTCGTAAGAGTTGGAGATGAGGTGCCAGACCTCATGGTTCTGTTTGAGAACTTACCCAGCAATAAGATCAATTTGGCCAAGGAGCTGACGGGAAAGGGATTGATTATTGGAACCCCTGGCGCGTTTAGTAAGTCTGCCTGTACTTTATTAGTCCCTTTGGAGGAATCGGATATTTTGTCGCGTAACGGCACATCAATCGATATAACCAGCTTCACTGGAATTGATATCTGTAGATATTTGAACAAAAGAATATACATTGTTTTTTCTTCTATCTTTTCTCTGCTTTCGTTTCTCCTTGCGATAGGCTAACATTATTAATAGGCCCTGCATGTTCCGCCGCGCACGTTCCCGGCTTCATCAAACACCAGAAGCTGAGGGACGCCGGTAAGGTGTTTGTGGTTTCTGTCAATGATCCATTTGTGTAAGGAACCCTCACTTGTATATGGGGGGAAGCTATCCCCAATCCTTCGACAGCATTAATCCCTCTTTTGCCCATGTTGCTCAGGAAAAAACTGACACTTGATTCCTCTGAATATAGAACCGGTGCGTGGTCGCGGATGATTGACCCTGAACAAACGAGCGGTGTATGTGGCGTGTCTCAACCCCATCATGCAATATGCTTGTTGCATATTCTATTTTTAATGTAGCTGACATACGAACTATCATATTCTAGATCCGATTCCTGGCAGATCCCAAGGGAGAGTTTACCAAAGCTCTGGATCTGGATTTCGATGCTAAGGCGATTTTCGGGAACATTAGGAGCAAGCGGTATGTGCTGGTGATTGAGGATGGTAAGGTTAAGAAGGCTTTTATCGAACCTGATAACACGGGTCTTAGTGGTAAGAAATTGCAGGGTCGTCGATTTTTCAGGGATAGGATTTTTTTTGCTAACAAGGCCTTACGATACAATAGTTTCGAGGGCGGAGAATGTTTTGGGATAGATGAGTGCGGCCCCCGTGAAGGGTATCTGGACCCGTATTCTGATTACCAATCTCTCACTGCAATGCTAGAATGCAACCTTAAAAGGAATGAGGCTGTTGGTGTATGTATTTGGAATAATACATATTTCATTGGCACCCCTAACCTATATGCCAGAGTAATTTCTTTAACCTACATAGCATCCCGTTAATCTTTGCCTTGAAGGATATAGAAACAGTATTTCCCAAACGCCCGAACCAAGTGTATCCATATAAAAGTAGTGTAAAAGTAAAACAAGGGTACAAGGTGTATCTCAAAGATATTCACAAATCAAATCCCACCACCGCTATCCCGCATTGTGCCTCAAACCCCGAATTTTGGATGCGATTCCGCAGTTTGTTCATTTTCCCATTGATCAAGACTGTGCCTTTTGTTCGTTCTCCCATTGTTCCGGCGTATAGCATTTGGGCGTCCAGGCGTGGATAGCTGCGATTTCCGCCTTGAGAACGGAGTTGACGAGCCGATGTCTGGCGAGCATGGTTTTCTTATCGAATTGCCGGGAAACTATGATTGCCTGGAAAGCCTGCCCGCAGCCTCCTATGTAAACGGCGGAAACAAAAACGAGATTGTGGTCAGCCTTAAAAGTATCTACATAAAATGCATTCGTGGATATCGGTAATTATTGTATGAACGTGCTTTGCACGCAAATGCGGGACGGGATTTTGAATTCTGGTGGCACATGGTATACCTGACATATCCTCAATTTCCACATGCTGAGCGTCTAGCTTGGCAATCAGCGTGTCCTTTATAGAAGCGGCAGAGACACCTGATGTGTTTGCCGTATCTGTCATGGAGGCGTTGAGGGCGCTGCGAACGCCAGCTGTGAAGTAGAAAGGTCTGTGCTGACGGATGAGGTAGAAACAGCTTCTGCTGAAATTGGTCGGACGGAGGAACATATAGGAATGGTTGATCTAAATAAATGGCGGAACGGAACAAGGAAAAGGAAATAAGGAGGAGTGTGGGGGTTAGGCTTAGGATGCCAATAATAGGCATCAATTATATATTAATTTGCCGGTTTCCTTCTTGTTTTCTTGATCTAATTACTCCGTTTTGACCGCAGGAATTTCAAATGATGCCAAAAAATCATTTTGGGAGACTTCACTAAATTGGTCAGCAAATGTTGGTCGAGAACTAGTTATAGAATTGTGGCTGGTGAATTGACTGATGCCGTTGTGGCTGAAGCTGTTAGTTACTGGTGGCTTGCGCGGGGAAAGTCGATTCACCAAAGGCCTGCAGAACACATTTTGACATCTCAAATCCTTCATCCCTTCCAGGAATACGATTTGTTGATGTATCAACAAGAACTCAACAAGGTCAATGATACGGCCTGCTTTGAGGAACATCTCAACGATGTCAAGTTTCAGTTCATCGTCGTGCTCCCCGTTCACCAGAGCAGTTGTGAACTCGATAAAGAAGCTGTAAGGTCACCCAGCAATAATGCGCCGCTTTGATGTTTTGTGTTATGCCATTGGCTTACACTTCTCATTTGCGGAAGATACCCAGAACAATTAGCAGATAAATCATTTGATAATACTGGCTGTGAGTTAATAAACTGCTGTGGGAACCTGTTGCCATTGACCAGGGTTGCTTACGTCGGTTACTCGTAGTGCTCCTGGAATCCCCATTTAATTTCGCGAAGCGGCAGAATAATTCAGTCTTATTGACGATTGACTTGACGAGGGCTGTGGCTGATGAAGCAATTGAGCGTGGGGATTCCATTATCATCGCATATCGTACGTGAACCTACCTAAAAGAATATCTCTGTTGACAGCCATTCGCTCATGACCTTGGAACACACCTCCGGGTCCCGTTACGGAATAGACCCAATCATCTTCCGGGGTTTCAAGTCCCTGACTTTAAACGATCCTCAACAAGACTCTCTTCTCCGCCTCGCCCAAAACGGCATAAGCGTCTATAGCCCTCACACAGCCGTAGACTCGGTTCCTGGGGGGATGGCAGATTGGCTCTTAGACATTGTCACAGGCCCTGAAGGGATTTCAGGTGACCAGATCTCACATTCTCGGAGCATAATCCATCCCGAAATAAATCCACCACCTGGGTTTGAGAATGCGGGCATGGGCCGAATAGCCAAGCTTGAGAAACCTGGCCAATTGCTGTCAATCATCAACAGACTTATCTTAAAGTTAGATAAACCTAGCGGTATCCCAGTTGCATTGCCACAGGGAAAGAGGATACATGAAATAACCAACATCCGCACCATAGCTACATGTCCTGGTTCCGGCTCGTCGATCCTGATGAATAATAGGAAACCCGTTGCGGACGTGTTGGTCACGGGTGAGATGAGCCATCATGATGCTCTGGCAGCAATTGAGAATAGGGCTGTTGTAATTTCTGTTTTTCATTCGAATTCTGAGCGCGGCTATCTGCGGGCAGTTATGCAACCGAAGTTGGAAGCGGCGCTGCGGGGTGAGTGGGATGCGGTACGTGCGGAAGAAGCTTGCTCGCTGGAGGGGAATGATGGCGATAGGTATTTGAGAGATTGGCTGAGTGATGCAAATTTTACCGTTAGTGTTAGTGAGAGGGATCAGGATCCTTACGAAGTTAGGGCAAAAAAGGATTGATACGCTCCCTTCTGGATTGGGTTGTCAATTTAAACAAAATTTTGGGATGAGCCGCGAAAATATGGACCATTGTACCCAATAGAGCATGCTTTGTTTGAGCCAAAGGGGAGCATCTCGAAGGATGTTTTCAATACATTTTGAACATAAGTAAATTTCTAGGATCCAAATGCAAGGTGCATCCACAAACGGGGATCGATTATATTTCCAATATTTCTTCAATAGCGAATAACTATATACAGATCATAAAAACAATAAATAAATAAATAAAAAAAAAAAAAAAAAAAACTTGATACATGTTGGTTACCCGAACGGAATTAGCTTAATAGCACTCTAATCTCCCCTGTTGTCCTGGGGAATAAGGTGCGCAATCTCCAGTTCTCCACCCGAGCCTCTTCAGCTTCCAATGTTTCTCCTTTTGAATCCTCACCATCCCCAACCACGGTCTTCCCACTTGCCTCATCCGCACCCAGTATCATACCCTCAACAAACTCAAAATCAATACAGAAAGACTCCACGGCTTCCTCCGTAACGCTCTTCACCAGTGCGGGGTTGTGGATGGCTTTCAGGTTCTCGGTTGCATCGACTAGTGCTGAAGGTAGGAAATCATCGAGTTGCTGGCTAATTGCAGATAAGGCCGCGGGTTGGAATTCAGGCAATGAGGGGATGGTTGCCAGATCTGGAGGGTGTTGCGACGGTATCTCCGGAGGAGCTGTGCCAGGAGAGGGTGGGGAGGAAGAGGGTGGTGGCGGTGTGAATGGTTTTAGCGCAGTGAGAAGTACATGTAGGCCGGATGTGTCCAGGAGGAAGTTATGTTGGATCTCGAGAAGGTTAGTTCTTAAGGTTGATAGAGTGCTGGAGATTGGATGTAGATGAGTGACGCAGGCGAATTGATACGGTGATATGACTGCCCGCACTGAGAGGAGGCAATTTACTTGGAAAATAGCCCGTGAAGTTTTGTTGGATAGGTTGTTCGATGATGTCTTGGCCAGTTCCAAAAACGGGTCTAAGGAGGCTCGGATGATTGGTGTGAAATTATTTTCGCCAGATGCGTTGTTTGTAGGTTCATGTCCGAAGGAGGAGTCGTAAGCTTTCATTAAAGAGGCAAGGTTATCAAGGGCGTCAATGAGGAATTGGGGGGTGCTAAGGTCAGTGGGAGGTGTGAGGATTGAAGGTTCAGCTGAAAGCACAGCTAGTTGATCCTGCATCAGGACCTGGAAGTGGTTGAATGAAAATTGCTGCAACGCAGCGATCGATGTCACCAAGCCTGATTCCTGTCCGATAAGCCTCGAAAATGTGTTCTCATAGAAAGCTAGAAGATTAAAGATTTTGTACAATGTAACGGGATCCTCATGGCCTTGTAGAACCAGTTCAACCCTCTGACGCAAGGAACGCGCCACCCCATTCAAATCCCGGGTAACAAGGTTAGTCAGTGCTTTCCTCCCATCAAACACCACTTCTTCCCCGTCGACGCGTGACCACGGCTCGCTATTTATGCCAGCTTGAATACCCTTTGCAAGTTCCCCACCATCGCCAATGAAAAGAGCTTCCAGAGCCTCTCTTTCCGACACTGCAGCTGAATGTACCCATGCGAGCATGTCTCCAACGTAGCGCAAGGGGTCATGAGCAGAAAACTCAATTGGTTTGGCTGCCCTGTCACCATCCTGGCCGGGGGCAACATCTGTAAGCGCAATATGAAAAGAATCCGAAAGGATAAACTCTCTCGCCTCAGCAAAGAAATTGAGGCAGCTGTGAAAGAGGCTAGGTCTTTCCGCCAGTACTCGGAGCGCACGCCTTATCGAACTACTGATTTGGGGATCCTCTAGGTTCAAGGACTTGAACTCCTTCTGTATCCACTTGTAGAGTTTCTGAAATGCTGAATTCAATTTTTTAGAGCTTTGTTCCATTATTTCCAGCCCCAGATGCTGGTTTTCACTTCCCAGTAACACTTCGCAATCCTTGTGTATCTGTTTCATGCGTGCGAGAGCGTGGTAAAACCTAACATCAACCGGTTCTGCAGACGAGGTAAGAGATATAAGTTCATCCTCAGACATAGTAAAATGCTTGTTGAATGCTTCAAGCAACTTATGCTTGGTTTCGACCTCTTGTCGCTGGTTCATCAACGTGGCTGCTTCCTCGAGCACTGGGGCGGTCTCCTGCGTTGCCAGTGCGATGTGCCTGCGCATCTCATCACACACGTTATTGAGACTGGAGATTGCCGTCCCAATCCGCGACAGTTGCTTCGTAATAGCACAGTTAGCATATCTCCGTATCACAAATGAGCAGTTCTGTTAACCCCATACCTCTGCAACCTTGCCGAAATCCTGTACGATTTTGCCATTGCTGTCAATAACTTCCTTTTGCACTTCAAGCCTTAACTGCCTTCTCATCTCCGGCGTATTCTTAATCCCCCTGTCATCTAAAATTTCTAAGGCGTCTCGTATGTCCGAGTCCGCATAGGATGTCGAGAGGACACTATTGAGCTTGTTGGAGAGTGCGGTAGAACGGGGAATAATAGCATCGGCTGGGGATAACGGAGACTCCAGCCCACCGTTAGATCCGGGATTTGTCGTCCCTGAGGACTTGGATAAATAATTCGACATATCTACGAGTAAGGAGTTTTGATATGGTTCTACTCGCCGCCGTTGAACATTATCGGTTATCCATATCTTGTGTTCAATGCTCGCCGGGTTAAAATTGTTCCGATGAACTCTCCGAAACGAAGAAATCACAACAAGGATCCATGGAAACACGACGACACAGTCTTCTCATTCGGAGTTTACCATTAAGCATTTGTGCCTGAGAAAGTCCTTGTATATTTTATGCACTTAGGGAAACGATATTGCATCAGGAGGTTTACGCCGTGGATTGCTCTGACAGGACGGCAATGGATGCTACATCACCAATGGATACACCGCTCATATCTCCGTCTAAAGCACGGCAAGCCGCATCCCTAGCGAAGGACTGGGCATACATCAACAGTTGGCTTAACCGGAAATATTCGCCGAATCCTGTACCACACTTTGAACGAAATGAAGATACCCTTAAGACTTTACTCGCACTTGCAGCGGCTAATGATGCTGGAGATGACGAGGAGGCTCTCCTTCATGCAGCGCGAGAAGAAACAATTCGCTATCTATTATCCCAAGAAGAAGCCAACCAAGATTCCCAAACAGAACTCCTCGATACTATAGAGTCAAGTCTGGATGATAAGGGGGCTAAAGTTTTAGACGAGCTCGCTGAAACCGCAGTGTTGCTGGGGACGTTTACAACTGATATTGGAGAACTTAACCATCGGATTGTGGACCTTACAAGGGAGGAATTTGATGTTGCTGAGCAAGTGCGCAAAATAGAACTGTTACAATCCTACCTTGAGAAGGAACTTCAGGCTCTTCGTGCACAGATGGAAGAGCTGAAGAACGAGCAGAGATATGAGACTCCTGCAGATTTGCCTTCCCAGACGGCTGATTGGATGAGGGGAACGAAGCTACTTAGCGCAAAGGTTGAGGAATACCGGGACAGAATTTCAACATTTGAAAAGATTGGAAGAGACAAAGGACTACGAATCGAGGATATTATGGTCGAGGAAGAAAGTGTGGTTGGGTTGAGAGAGAAGGTAAAGACGTTGGAAGGCAAAGTGAAAATGTTTCATGGGTTACCATCTAATGTCCAGGAAGCGAAGAAGGAACTCGAACGAGTTGAGGAAGACTACCTAAACCTTGTCCGCAGAAGAGATACTATGTTCGAGAATTTGGTGGATCACGAGAGGGTTTAGTACTACCGATCAAAGGCCATCGACTACTGTTACACGGGAAAAATATAACACAAAGATGTTTCAACAGCAATTTCGTTGTCAATTTGTCATTCCTTTGCATACAAACATTATCATATATACAGGCCGTGAAAGAGAAGCCAAAATCAATTTCCATCGACAACGAACATCATCCCGAATTAGCGACTGCTTTATTTGTCCATACCCGAAGCGCCCTTCACTTTGCCGCCACTATAAACGAAACTGATTAGCATGGTCTTTACAAGGGCCAGGAAGGTCAACGTGTTTCGGTGGGCCTTACATAGATTCCGTAGCACCGCCTCGTTGGTTATCTGAGGTCCGTTGAGTCTTGTCAAAGGCTTCTTGGCCGGCGCTCTTATCGTCATCGGGTTGCACCCCTCTGCAATGATTGTGAGCATACGATAACAACGTCAAAGTGGAATGAGGTTCTGGAAACTGACCGGGCAATGCGATCGCCCATGTCGGTGAAAGCCTCCTTAACTTTCTGCTGAGTTGACTTGCTTGAATCGGGAGTGATCTCCTCCTTGGCCTCTGATGTACAACACACAGCGGTCAGCCTTGAACTGTACGGGAAGAATGGTTATGTCATTTGATTATTGGCAACGTACTGGTTGAGAAATCCTTGCGTCCTGCGTCAGACATGATTGCGGCGTTTGAAAGTGTTGCTTGATTTGAAAAGAGTTGTAAAGAGTTTGTTATAAGATTGGATCGTTTGTGTAGATTGGAAGTGTGTTGGTTAGATGGAAAAGATAGAATAATCTCTGAGAGATTTACTCTTCTTTATAACATTTCAAAGCCTACGGTTATGGGTCCTCAACCGGGGCATGACATTACCTTAACATGATGTCAGGAGGCGCAAAACAGGGCTTCATGTTTACACTTCTGTGAGATCCCCAGGTTCGCCCTGTACAAAGATCCTTGATTGCTACTACGCGCGGCGTTGTTCTTTCAAGATTTCGGTAAGTTTTCAGGAGACCGTGACGAAATCGAACTGTCTTGTTATTGGTGATTTGTCACAATGACAAGTTTTAACGGGAATAGGCCTAGTGCAGAGTGGAGTAGGTTAACTTTCGGAATATAAATATTCCGTAGGAATGACGCTTAAGTCCCGTATTATGAAGGCAATATGAAGGCGGTGAAGGTGGGCATCTTCATGTTCCGACGACTGATCTTCATCATCTACCGTGACACCTCATTCAACTCGAGTCATCACCATCTAATTTTCATTTCATTCCTTCCCCAGCATTTCAGCTATGATCATGATTCATCGCAATGTCATGTTAAAATGCTCTATCAGCTTCCTTTGCTTCTGAACCATTTTGGAGCTTCTTGATTTACATACATCATACGCATTTGTCTTTAGTAAATTGCTCTTCTTGTTTTAAAACCACGGGTTCATGTCGAGTTCGGAGGCCGCATCAACGTGGGATTTTACTCCTGTCATCAATCTCCTTTACTCGTTTTCCAATAACAACCAGCCCACGTCCCTGACAGAGCAAGCTACAATTGCTCCGTCATTATCCTTCCCCGACCACAGTACTGGACGAGATGGATGTCAACCGCTCGGGGATTTTGGACCCCTTTGGGATTTACTATCTGGGGGTCGGCCTTCGGATACTAATAATGCCACTGATAATATTCAACTAACTTCTCAGAGTGCTAATCTGAGTCAGGAGAAATACCATCTCCTTCCACATGATGTTAGCGAACAAGAGGTGCTGGCTGGAACGACAGGGAACACAACTGACACGCGAAAAGTCCGAATATTACTGCAAAAGAGAGTAGAAGAAAACATCAAAAAGAAGCCCCGCATCCGGCCCTCTATTTTCCCACTTACGAAGGCTGACGATGATGACAAAGTTCCTCCTGGACCTAATCTGCGCCCCGCTATTCCTCTCTCGATATTACGGAACCCTAATCCAGCTGTTCTTAACGAAGCCATCTCAACCCCTCTTCCCCCGACAACCCCGCCATGTTACAACAAATTATCTAGTCCCAAGTCTAGCAAGTGCATCATTGAACCTATTCTAGAAGGGACCCCTGCTGAGAAACGACTCGATTTGATATCTATGCTCAGCACTCGTTTTCCAAAAGAACGGGAATACCTGCTTAAGCTTCAGGTTTCTAGCCTGAAGGTTTATGAACCTAATCTTCATCCAGGAGGGGTTCATGTTTTCATTGACATGTCAAATGTAAAGTCTAGCTCTGAAAACCTCTTTGGTGATTTCTTATTAACCCTGTGTATTAAACTAGATTTCGGTTGGATTCCATGACTGCATCAAACTAGCCCGAGATGTTCCTACTTCCAGTCGTATTCCTCGAATTCCATTGTCTTTTCACAACTTCTCTATCATCCTGGAAAGAGGCCGATCGACGAGCAAAAGGGTCTTAGTCGGTTCTGACCGGTTTGCAGCGGTTGACGAAGCTGAAGCAATTGGTTACGAGATTAATATCCTTGAACGAGTCCAAAAAACGAAAGATTTCTCACGCAAAAAGTCCTCAGGTGGAAATGGGAATGCTCGAAACAACGGCACAAGGAGCATCGCACAAGGGCAGTCCAGTGGCTCTGAAACGAACGCTGGACCCCATCAAGAGCGATGGGTGGAACAGGGAGTAGACGAAATTCTACACCTGAAAATCCTGGAGAGCATAGTCGATTCCGAGGCTCCCTCTACCATGGTACTCGCAACGGGTGATGCAGCGGAAGCTGAATACTCAGACGGGTTTTTGAAGATGGTAGGGCGTGCGCTGCAGAAGGGATGGGGTGTCGAACTTGTGAGCTTCAGCACCACCATTAGTCGCGCATACAAGCGGAAGGAATTCCGTTCCCAATGGGGTGCACAATTTAGAGTCATCCGGCTAGATGAATATGTTGAACACCTCCTGGATGCGTGATTATATCCCTGCGCTATGACCGAGTGTACTCTTTACCTGATGACTGCTTTTGCATTCTATGTGAGATGCTCGCCTTTTTGATCTGGGCATTTGGGCTTCATTGTGGTGTTCTAGAGGATGGCGATGTGACTGTTGAGACCATGTTGTGGGTGGTCCTGTCGAAACCTTAATTGCTATTCTGTTCGAAGTATGACGGGAGCAAAAACTTATACGGCTGTTGACGTCACTCTTCGACGATTTTTCGCGCTTAGGCACTACCGGGGGCCCAAAATTGGAAGATCCAAGGCTGCGGCTAGTTGGTTAGGCATCTGCACTGGTTAACCATATCCCGCAAAACAAACTAGCTTAACTTGAACAATTCCCATTACAAGCTCATCTAGTCCTGATCCGTTGTTGTATAGTTTGGAGTTTATACATGCTTAAGTTCCTAGCAATCCTTAAATGTATAGCATTTAATGATATGACAGTTGTTTTGTGGTGCTGCTCATTGTAGAAAATATTTACTACAAGTGCCATAGCTTTTATCCTGATATCTAGAATAAAAAAGTTAAAAGCTAATAAGGTCGTAACTATTTGAGTTTGGTGATTAATAATATATGAAATGCTTCATCAACATGATTCTGTGAAGAAATAATAAAATCACTAATTTGTTCAACTTATACTATTCTTGTTTACTCCTCCTAATCAAGAGATTGAACCAGCTGTTAATTGTGCTGCTGCACAATCCACACCTCATGTGGGTGTGCCATACCAAAACAATAAAAACATTGAAACAATAAAAATCTTGAATCACATTCTCATTATTGCACTCTATATCAACAATCAGTAGCTAATTTATAATAAAAAGATTATCTACATCATTTTCAGTATATGTGTCATCTCTAAATTGATTTAGTTTCTCTTCTGTCAGTGATATAAATGAGTTATTGTCAATTTTTATGAAATTGATTTCAAGTCTTAACTATTTATTATTTTGTTCTTTTTAGCTTTATTATTTTATGCTGTTTGATTTTTTCTATTGACATTTTTAATCATGAGAACTCTTTTTATTTAAATCTGATGATAAATTATTTTAGCTCTACAATATTTACTGATATTAAAAAAGCTTTTTAATTTAGTAATTTATTACTTATTAAATTCTATATAAGTTAAACTTACTTTAAATATCTTTTTTAAATAATATATCAAGATAAGTAATTTCAATTCAGAAGTATTTTTAATATTTTGTATGATATTTTCTGCAATATTAATATGATAATTCAACTTTTGAATTATTTTTGATAAGAATAGCTGAGAAGAAAAGATAAATATATAATTTAAATCATTTTTATCTTTATAAATTTATAGTGAAGAAAGTGATGAGATTTACTGCTTAAGAGTGTTAAGAACTCAGTTAGAATTTCATGAATATATATCAAATTAAACTCATTCTGCAGCTATAATATCAGATTTAAAAATCTGCTTTGATGTAGCTGAGAGATTTTGTATAAATTGCTATTTTTCATATTTAATAAGATTATAATGTGTAGCATAGTTGACTACTTTTGAATAATAATATTTATATTATTGAAATGATAGACTATTCAGAAATTATAGTAAATAAATAATATATGATAAAAATTTATATAGAATTATTTTATAAAGATTTATATATTATATAAACTTCTCAATGATATTATATTTATAATTATTTATTAAAAATAATCAATAATTTTTCTTCTATCTTTTTTCTGTAGTAGTATTGAAATATTTAAATCATTTAAATTCAATTTTATTATTTGTAAATTCAATATTTGATATAATAATTCTACAATTACTGAGTAAATCTATCTGTGTATATCAATTCTTCAAGTGTGTGTTGAAGATTAAGATTATTAATAATAGAATAATATAATTATTCATGAATATATATTCAATAACTATAATTAAATCTTTTGAAAAAAATAAAGAAATGATGAAATTAACTTTTTTAAAAGCAGTTATAACTCATTCTCCATATCTTTATCTTTTTTGAAATTCAATCTCATTGAAATTGTATTTATCATAGATATGTAATTAATACTTCTTAAATAAAATTTAAAGATATTCAAATTATATATTAATATATTCAATATCTTTAATTGTTACTCTCTTTGAATTCATCAGCTTCTGTTTTACTCTTTTATATTTAGATAGATATTTAATAAATCTATAAGTTCATATCTTACTAACTTTTGAAGAGAAGATAGTAGAATCTTTATATTGATATCTGAGTATTGAATTTATAAAATCTTTAATATATTCAGCTATGAGAGAATAATTCTTTTCAACAAACAGCTTGATTCATTGTTTAATCACATTTTTCTGACACTTATTTAATCTTTTGTTAACTAAAATCTTTGCAGTATTTAGATTCCTTTCATTGATATATATTTAAAGATATTAATAAAAAACTCTAAATTCTTATGACAGAGACAGTATTTTGAAATTTGAGTTTTTTCAGTGATAAGTGACAGCTTTTTGAATACAGTCTTCAATATTTTTATCCTTATTTGACATTGTGGTGAGTTATTAATTGATGAAGATGATGAAGATGATGAAATTGCAAGATTTTTATCATTTTGGTGTTTTTATCATTTTGGTGTGGTGCACCCACACAAGGTGTGGGTTGCGCAGCGGCACGATTACCCTTCATCTACTTATTTTCTGGAATATCTCCGTTTTTCAGTCTTAAATAAACCCCTGGATAACTCACCATTCTCTCGTCCTAGGTTTAAGTTTGTCGTTTCCCGCCTATAGTTAAATTGTCCCTTCTCATTCATATCTTCCCACCCTCAATCTTCTCCACATCATATTAATTGGTCAAAATCAACAGACCAAGCAAAGCAAGTTACATCTTATATGTCCATTCAGATCTGTTAAATACCTCTCCCCATACCATATCTCGGACCAAACAAATCGAAGCTCAAACCGTTCCCCAAGAGAGTCGTCATGGAATTTATAAATATTGAGCTATTTGGGGGCGCCATCGCTATAGATTTGCCCGAGGATTTCTTGGATGTAAGGTAAGAAAGGTTAAAAGAAATGAGTCGGACACCTGATCCCTGTGACCCTATTTCAAGTCTGTATTATCTCTTGGTACTCATTTCGTTTTCTTTTTCTTTCTTCCTTTTTATTTTTATTTTATTCTTATTTGTTTTTTGGTACATATATTCTTGTATTCCTTGATTACATGGAGCTCTGACTTGCATGAAGAGGGGAGTGATGTGTTTACATTCCAGCCATGATCAGAATCTTCTATTCTGCATTGCTATACTTTTCTGCAACTTGGCCTCCGCATCTGTTTATCTTGAGCATGATGGATGAGTTTTCAACGATACCGGCAGCCAAAACCAGAGAAAATAATAATAACCAAAATCATTATAGCGACATAAGGCAGGTCCCGGATAACCAAGAAGTTTTCATGTCCCAAGACACACAAACAAGCATCATCATCGAAATAGTCGAACGTCTGGAGCCCGAAAAGCTCCAACTACAACCAAACGATAACTCAAAGACCAATCCTGACCAAGAAGAAGTAGCCCAAGACATGCAGGCTGTGAAAGCCCACATCCATGAAATCTGCGAAGTTAGTGGAGACAGCTACGAACTCATCTCCAGTACAGGACCAATTGAAGTGCTAAAGTTACCCGATACGCCAGCTTACATGGCTCGGGCACACATTTTATGTTCTATCAAAAGGCGGGGAGAGGAGCCGGCATCAGCAGCAAGAGTTGCCGTGTCTGAAGGAATAGAAATAGACGACGAAATATCCACACAGCCAGAAACAGCGACGTTGACATGCCAGTTGCTCCTGATCCGTTTAAAGGAAGAAGAAACAGACATCATAGCTTATGTCGTGGTGCCGCATAAGGAGCTTGAGAGAGATGGTGGTCCGGTCGATGCGAAAGCTGATGAGATAGCGAGCGCGATACTGACAAGGTTGTCGGCGTCGTTTGACGTAATGGATTATTCACTTTTTGCGGGACGGTAGACTATAGGTTGAAGAGAGAGGCTCACAAAGTTTTGGGGATGACAGGAAGATTTTTTCTCATGGTGGAGGGGGCGGGGGCTAAGTTGATAGGAGAGGCCAAGGAGAGCAAATGGACTATATATAAAGATACGAATGAGAAATTGAACTCCAGCTGCTGGGGTTCTTTCGCTTTGGTTTCATCTGTGGATTCACTGTTTCTTAGTCTGTCTGCATGAGAGGGATGGTGATACTCGTCGTTGGTTCTGGATTTGAAAGGATTTACCCATAGAATTCCCACGGACACACAGTTTTCAGGCAACAGGTATGACACTTCCCCTTGTCGGTATCTGAATTCACATGGCAGGAAGTTCTAATGATGGAGCAAAAAATAGATTTACACAGCCGCATGGTCATTCTGCCGCTATACTTGTAGTAAACATATTATTCCAAATGTCAAGAAGGATGATGATGAAGCTTTTAATGAAGCTTTCATCTAGTTACATGAAATTTACCAAAGAACAAACCTATGTTCACGAAGATGTTGTTAATGGGTAGGTGTCAGTGAAATCGAGGGAATGATGAAGTGAACATGAAGTTTGCATTTTCTTTGACAGTTAGTTTGCATATTATGTAAAAGACGCAGCCAACAGGAACAGAAAGGCTATATTAACTATTAGATAAATATTAACTTAAGTGGTTGCCTGTCTCCCCACAAGATAGATATTGTGTATGCCTAATCAGCCTCGAACAAGCTGCCCAGTGTTGGCGCGTGTTTGTCATCCAAGACTTTCAAGATCTCCCTTCTTCGGCAACCAAACCCAACAACCCCCCCCCCAACACAACAACATCATCAGCAACTGCATTAGCAATTCCCACCTTTCTCCTTTTATGTCTTGAGGCAGAGATGATTGTCAATGACTCTCAGCTATCCCGGTGAAAACGTCTTTCGTTCCGTTCCGTCTCCGTCTCCCTCTTCCTGCGTCCTGCAAGCCGGCTGAGCCAGTCATACAACTCAGCCTTCCGAGGATCCTAGCACCCCACATTATCTACCTATGTCTGACTCGCCTTGCCACTCTCCAACTACACTAGCGATTGCCCGCACAAGTCAACAAGCCTGCTCCAGCAAAGCACTATCCTGATCGGGTAGCAAATCTTCTTTTCTCCGTCTCCAGCATTAGCTGCTTAACCTATCCTGTCTCCCAAGTTACCTTACACGTTTTTCACCACGCCGCCCCAAGCAAAGAAAAGGAGTGCGTGCGAGGCAGTGGTTGACAATACAGACAAGGACTTGCGATCAATCATCACGGGATCTGACAGAGCAGCAGTCCGCAAGAGGGTCGGGCGGGCCCTTGAGGATTCGGGTGACCCGTCTCCTACCCCAAAAAGGGTTCCTGACCTTGCGACACCCGCTACCACTGAAACCACTACCAGCATGGATTCCGAGGAAGAGTTAATTAGCGATGGCTCGAGTCAGGAGGATATGCTTGATATGCAAGGGAGTGATGACGAGAGTTTAGGGGACGGTAAGCTCAAACATTTTTTTCCCTTCATTTGTTATCTTCTACCTTAAGACATCCTTGGTCTGTTTGTATTTTACCTTGTTGCGTTTGGGCATTCGAAATAGGACCTGATCAAGATCATGCCCGGTTCTAATAAATGGTTATGCTCGCTTTGGGTTACAGATTTTGGCGACGATGACCTTGGCGGCTCTTTCTACGATAAAGAGATTATCAAGCAACCTCGAAAACCCTACGAGGTCGACTTTAAGGTCTTGAGCCCCGAAGATATCCGACGAGAACAAAATATGCAAATAAATGAAGTTGCTTCGATCCTGGGACTACCCCCGGAATCAGCAGCTATCCTATTGCGGTTTACTCGCTGGAATCGGGAGAAGTTGATTGAATCGTATATGGAAGACAATGACAGAATACAGGAAGAAGCTGGTGTTGGGGCGGCATTTTCAGGTACCCCGAAAACTGAGGTCATTCCCGGATTCGTGTGTGATATTTGCTGTGAGGATAGGAAAGGTCTGGAGTCATACGCCATGCGATGCGGTCACCGGTTTTGCGTTGATTGTTATCGTCATTATCTTGGTCAGAAAATTAGAGAGGAAGGAGAGGCTGCCAGAATACAATGTCCCCAGAACAAATGCCATCGCATCGTTGACTCCAAGACTTTGGATTTATTGGTAACGGAAGATTTGCAGGAGAGGTCCGTATGCTTCCTTTAAGTTTCATTTCCCCTTTCATAGAAGTTAACAACGATATTTACTCCTGTCATGCAGGTACCACCGCCTTCTAATTCGTACCTATGTGGATGACAAATATAATTTGAAGTGGTGCCCAGCACCAAATTGCGAATTTGCGATAGACTGTGGCGTGAAAAAGCGCGACCTGAATCGTGTTGTCCCAACTGTTCACTGCAGATGCAGCCATAGCTTCTGCTTTGGTTGCAGTCTGAATGATCACCAGCCACCTCCTTGCTCATTGGTCAAGAAGTGGCTGAAGAAATGCAAAGATGACTCCGAAACCGCAAACTGGATATCTGCGCACACCAAGGAATGTCCGAAATGTTCATCCACCATTGAAAAAAATGGCGGTTGTAATCACATGACCTGCCGAAAGTGCAAGCATGAGTTCTGCTGGATGTGTATGGGGCTGTGGTCTGAGCATGGAACTAGTTGGTATAACTGTAATCGCTTCGAGGAGAAATCAGGGGCTTCGGCCCGCGATGCCCAAGCTCGTTCCAGACAATCGCTTGAACGATATCTTCACTACTACAATCGTTACGCGAACCACGAGCAATCTGCAAAGCTGGACAAGGACCTTTACCTCAAGACTGAGAAGAAGATGATGAGCTTGCAATCCCAGTCCGGACTGTCGTGGATCGAGGTTCAATTTCTTGATACAGCATCCCAGGCGCTTCAGCAATGTCGACAGACGTTGAAGTGGACTTACGCTTTCGCTTTCTACCTTGCCCGCAACAATCTGACGGAGATATTCGAGGATAATCAGAAAGATCTAGAGATGGCAGTCGAAAGTCTTAGTGAGATGTTTGAGAAACCCATTGATCAGCTGTCGGCTTTGAAAATTGATATCCTGGACAAAACTGCTTATTGCAACAAGAGACGTGTCATTCTGTTGAGCGACACTGCGGAGAATTTAAAAAACCGTATGTATCCGACTGCCTAATCTGATTGTTCTGCTACTTTGCTCATCTTGTGATCCCCCAATCTCCAGTTATTCAAAGCATCCACATATTGATAATCAATTAACTGACTTTAATTTCACAGAAGAATGGACATTCAATGTTGATCTGGACAGCTGATTATATATCACTGTAATTAACAGCATGCGACTCTGGAATAGATTTCACTGTGACATGCTTTAGTTTTGCTATTTCAGCCCTTTTCTCTTCTTCACCCGTGCATCTTTGTTTCTTTTCTTTGCTTTTCTTTGCCTTTATATTTCTATTTTGCATTTTCATGCGTTAACGCTAAGAACTTTATCATCGGCTGGGTAGGTGTTAGGAGATTTGGTGGGTGCTCATTCTGCCAGTTTCATTGCTCTTCATGGTTGACACATGCATGCATCCACATACATACACGAGTACATATAATAGATTAAGAGACAGAGTCAGAAGAGGCTGAATGAAGACATGCTTATCTGATAAGTCATATCTTGTACAGTTTTACATGTTAAAATGAAAAGCAAAGCCAAAGTAAAAATAAATAAACAAACAAAAACAAGACCATACATTGTTATTATCACATCACATGAAAATACATCTGAATCCTAATTTATCCCTTCTCATAATATCCTTTGTAATGGATGTCTGTATAACCTACTAGACTTTATTTTGTTGAACGAATAGATGGATAGCAGGTCTCGCTATCACATGACCAAAACCCCTTTTTTAAGGCTTTCGATTACAACTTTCGTCGTTTCGTCGTTTCTCATCCATGGCCTTCGTACTACTCTGCCATTATGGTATTTTCATTTAAGATCTTGCTGAATACCTATAAGCTCGTCACCGTGGAGATTGCGAGCCCCGACCCAAGCTGAACCTTCCCCCTTGCCTTTCTTTCGAGATGTCATATAGATGGACTGGATATGGTTTTCGACAATCGGCAGAGGAGTCGTTTAATATATTGTGACAATTTGTTGCATGTGGAAATCAGCAATCTATGTGCATATGGGAACTGGGCTATTTACTAAACAGTTTCGCAGTGTTCGCAGCGCCTTTTCGTCACACGATGTTTACATTATGTCAACGATGGCCCGAGGAATGCTTGTCTCATTGACCAATTCTCTCGTCCCCCGAAGTGTCATAAGCGTTGGCAAAGTTATGCTGACCTGGCTTGGTCCAACAATCTACTTTACTACTTTACCTGAGATTGAACTGCCATGAGAGATATGGGATTGCGTTCCTCCTGAAATTACTATGGCTGATTTCACCGACAATTGATCTCCTGAGTGAATGATGTATGCTGTTAATACCACTTTGCTTTATGATAGTGTCGCAGAGCGATCTGGTTGGTTCAATCTGGTTGTTTCGGGCGAGTGAAACCTTGAATTCATACTGATTAGAACATATATCATTGTTCAAGTGGCTTCAAGCCAAAATATTCTTCCTGGGCATTGATTTTTGAGAGCAAAACTCTCACATTGTATACCAGGTCGAGGTTATGTTTTACTGATCAACTGTCGATGTATGTATGACGTTGCAAATATTTGGCAGATGAAAGATTTGCAACCCTTCCACGATCCCCTTTACCCCAGGCTTGTCACAGTTTCAAAACTCTGGCAGGTAAACGAAGGAAGGGGAAGGGGAGGTGGGGGGGGGGGGGTGAGAGTAACCTGTGATGGTTGTTGGTATCTGTATGGAGGCACATCGTTATACGGATCTCGTTGTTCAAGGCGGAGTTCGCTCAGCTCGACTGGCTGCAAATGGGAATAATATTGAAGCTGAGAGTTATTCTCTATGAGATGAAAGAGGAGCCAATTGTTCGAGTGCCGCAACGTGTGGCTGCACCTGTAGAAGACTGTCGGCAAAAAGCGTAAATACCTCCTGACATACCCAGATTTATCGCTCCAGTCACGGAAGGGAAGCCTAGCCTGTGTTGTGCGAGGGATAGCTACAATGGACGCCGGGTCCATTATCATAGAGCGGTATAAAGCATTGTCTGATCAAAGTAGTTAGTTGCCTTGATCCTACAAGTAGAAAATCCCAAGAGTAAAAAGGACGTGGGGAGGATTCCTGAGAAGAAAAAGATGTGGGGAATCACAGTCCAGACGGAGGTCGCGGGAGCAGAAAATGCTTACTAATCAGTTTACAGTGGGGTGCATGAAGTTTGAGCCGAGAATAATACGACTAAACTGTATTAGGAAATTTAAATGTTTGAAAAAGGCAAGTATATTAGTTTACCGTATCTAATTTGGGCTGGCGATACCGGTTTGAAATTTTTGCACTCCGCGGCGGTGAACCTTTACTTGTTTAACTTTACAAATAAAAGTGTGGCGCCCGCAGGATCTGATAAGGGAAAAAAGAAAAAACCTACGAGGAGGACTTTTTTTCCCGCGGATTAAAGGGAGACAGAACCCGGTCGATAAGTATCAAACAAACATTGACCAAGGTGTGGAACAAAAATGGATGCTTCTCCATGATTCCATGATTCCATGATCCTATCAATTTGAATCTCCGTATCAGAAAAGAAGGCCGACGCTTTCAGCACTCCATTGCACGGAGTAGTTACCGTCTCAAAGCATCACAAGTTGCACCGTTGCCTGACGGCCACGAAGAGCCCTTTGAATTTATCATTTGCTTTCACTTTTATGGCTCCTAAACATGAAACTTGGGAGCCACAAGAACGATGCCCTTGATGTATGATCCTTGACGCTTGGCGTATAGTTATTATTATCTTCCTGATTTCTGTACAGTGTGTCCCAGCAGGTTCTCGGCACGTTTTGATGATTGGAACTCTCATCTATGTCCAATGGACACAGCGACCAAAGCCCAGAATCCAATAATGGCTATTGGGTCCGTCCTGGATGTAGATCCTCCACCTGCAAGACGACTGAGAGACGGATCCCGCAGCCATTCCTTCAGTGGAAGTGTCTTTACGGTAGTTTGTCCTTTCATCGAAGCGTGTTGCGGGGTATGGAGTAAGCTGCATTCGCACTGCCGCATACTCCAAACCGTGTTTTGGATCTGCCATGAGTCCATGTTTTTGGGGGGTGCCTGGCGCCGGGATGTTCTGTTGACAGTGGTGACTTGCAAAAACCTTTTGGCGATGACAGCACGGAATACGCTGTTACAAGTCTGATATTGCAAGATGCTGCGAAAGAGCATTAAACAGTGGAAAAGATGAGCCGCAAGAGCGCAGTTGAATATCTGTTAAATAATCAGGAAGAAGAATATACATATAACATATTCTTTTCTTCTCGTGTTAGTGAGGAGAGTGGTAAATATAACCTGGGAATATTTAAGCTTTTGAAAATAGAATCCAGCCATGGAATGTGTATGGAGTTGGAATATTTAATACATAAAAATTGACAAGGATAGCTGTATTTTGCGTGTGAAAAATGGGGATGTACCGGTCAGCAATTAAGTTGCACCACCCATCACTAAAATAAGCTGTGATTAATTGGTTAAACTCATCCAAACCCGCCACAACATTCATATTCTGCCAATTTTTTGGAATCCTTCCCATCGCCAGTTCCCGACTTTTTGCTGCCGTGCGCCCTCTCTCCTCTCCCTCTTTGATGATAATAATACCTACCACCCATCATCGCTGGTCGCCACCTCTACTTCTCCCCCGGTTTCCGCGATTCAGCAACCGTGAGCGTCCACGTAGAATCAAGCAGCTCCGGCTACTCTCAGAAGCCTTTGATGGCCTCTCCAGACAGAGTCCCGGGTGAAGATTATGAGTACGTTACTACCATCCCAAGTCCGCAGTCAATATGCGGAGACTGAGGGTTTCTGAGACTTTGCGCTGGTTGCTTTCTTATTTGCCTGCCTGTCAACGCTGACACTTCCGGTCTCCCTTTTTTTTTTTCTTTCCGGGCATATGCATAGTTATGAAGCTCTCCCGCCAGAATATTCCCTTGGCCGTAATATGTTGGCCGGTGCCCTCGCTGGCATTGCGGTATGTGCTCGTGCTCACCACGGCTCTTCTTGTGACCCCCCCCCCCCCTCCCCCGGGGTTTCGCAACCTCTTCCTTCTACTCTGAATAGCGGCCAATTTTATGTGAACTGACAGTTACATTTTAGGAGCACTCTGTCATGTATCCAGTGGACTTGCTTAAGGTATGAATCGGCATTCATATATTTCTCTCCCGCTTCCATCGCAAAGTTTCCTTACCTCTATGCGCCTTGCATTTTGCGATTTATCCGCCCGCAAAATCCGCCATATTCTTCTCTCTTCCTCTAAGTTTGCCCAACTCAATACGTGGCTATTTGCTAACGGTTGTGTTTGCAGACTCGAATGCAAGTCCTAAATCCGTCTGCTGGTGGGCTGTATACGGGTTTGAGCAATGCTGTTACAACGATATCTCGGATTGAGGGCTGGAGGACTCTATGGAGGGGTGTGTCGAGCGTGATTGTTGGTGCTGGTGGGGAGCTCCAATTATAATTACGTTTTTTGGGTGGCGCAGATTTCCTCTGCGTAAGTCTGCTCTGACGTCCTGATATTGACATATCTTTTTTTAGGTCCCGCCCATGCTGTTTATTTCGGTACATATGAAATAGTTAAGGAAATCGCCGGTGGTAACATTGGAAGTGGTCACCATCCATTCGCAGCAGGTAGGTATCAGCGCTTGGGGGGTGTTTTAAATTCCTATTTCCGAAAAACAACGAAAACATGGGATATTTTGGTGCTCTATTTATTTCAACATTGGGACTGACAAACCATTGTAGGATTGAGCGGAGCATGTGCCACCATCTCCAGCGATGCCCTTATGAATCCCTTTGACGGTATGGAAACTCCTCCCTGACTTGTAACCGCAACTTATTCTGATATCTATCGCGCGTAGTGATCAAACAACGCATGCAGGTCCACGGCTCCACACATAGAACCATGATCCAATGCGCACGAACCGTCTACCGCACCGAAGGCCTTCGAGCGTTCTACGTCTCCTATCCCACAACATTATGCATGACCATCCCCTTCACGGCCACACAATTCATCGCCTACGAATCCATATCGAAAGTGATGAATCCATCAAAGGCGTACGATCCATTCACCCACTGTATCGCTGGTGGGTTGGCTGGCGCTGTGGCAGCTGCCATCACCACACCTCTTGACGTGATCAAGACTGTACTGCAGACCCGTGGTCTTGCGGAGGATTCTGAGGCCCGCTCTGCTCGTGGCTTGTTCAATGCTGCTGGCATTATCAAGCGGCAGTATGGCTGGTCCGGATTCCTCCGTGGAATGCGGCCGAGGATTATCGCAACCATGCCCAGTACTGCTATCTGTTGGTATGTGCCTTTTTCTTTTCTTTTCTTCTCTTTTCTTCTCTTTTCTTCTCTCTCTCTCTCCCTTTTTTTTTTTTTTTTTTTTTTGGAGGGTCCACCGTCAGCTTCAATTGCCCCCCTTGTGCATTTCTTTCCTTGTCATTCCTGCGCGAGTGCAATTCTCGAATCTGACCATCAAATAGGACTTCATATGAAATGGCGAAAGCATACTTCAAGCGACAGGGCGTATCTGAATCTCCTCTCTCGTGAATACAATGTAATCGGGAAACGCGGGTTCCTCTCCTGCCACCATCGCGACTCCCTTGACCGACCTGCACATAAAATCATTCCCCGTGTAGAGATAGACACACAGGCCGGGCGTCTGAATATCCATCCCACCGTTCCCCCCCCCATCCCGATTCTATACTATCCTATTAGTTTTTTTTATTTTTAATTTTTTTTTTTTTTGTTTCTCTCCCTCTAGTCTTCTTTAAGTGTGTATTACAAAATAAGGGATGCGATGGAACGTCCCAGTTAGAATGGTTTCGTCTTCTGGTTTCCCTTTAGCCTGTCGTCGTTAATTTCTCCCACCTTTGTTTTATTTTCTCTCCCTCTCTTTTTCTTTTTATCTTTTCCTTTTTCCTTTTTTTCATTTTACCCCGATCGATGACAGTTTCTCTTGAAGGTGGGCGTTCTGGGCATGGAAACAAAAAGATAACGGTTCTCTGATAATATGCGGGGACATATGTCTGTCCACCTCAATAGACAATGATGAATGAAGCTCATATTTTCGTTTTTTCTTTTTATATTCCCGAATTTATCTTATATTTTTTATTTTTTATATTTTCAATTTCACTTTTATTTGTCTCTTTTTGATGTAAAGTAATCTTTTTAGGTTTTGTTTTTCGATGCCAGATTTACCCTCGTTGGTGTGTATTTCTCTGTCTTTTTCTAGGGTTTTCCTCTCCTTACTCTCTGGCTGGTTAAGTTCGTCTATTTCTGTTGCCTGGGAGATTATCAAGGGTTCGCCGGGGTTTTTTTTTTTTTTTTTTTTAGAGTTCGACTCCATAGGAAAACAACGTGTTCCCTCCACAGCAGTGTACCCTCTACTGTTGTTGGTGATGCTGTGACTTCGGTTCGACAGCCTGTTGCTTGACGTGCTCCCATGTCGCTTCGAGGGGATTGTTGGTCCAATTGTGTGTATAGTCTTATCCTGTTTTCATGTGAGAGGGATCCTGGAAAGCCTTTGCTTACGGGGTGGATTTGCGGATATCCGTAATAGTAATCCCCCTTTCCCTGTTTCTTTAATCTGGTTTTCAAAATGGTGGAGCTCTTTTTCGGCGGGTAAATATGTACTGTCGAGGAGGTAAATAGAGCGCAAGTGTACCTAGAGCGCAAGTGTACCGATAGACCGATATGCTGCTTTTAATTTATTTTACATATGTGATTTATGATGCAACCGATTTCATACGGAATATATGACAATAATTTAATTCTGATATTAATAAATGCGATTATTCTCATTCCCCCCCCCTCTGCCCTGTAACTCTACTTGCACGGCAACCCGTGGATGTCTATTTAAATAGCTCTCGATGTTCTTGTTCCTCACGTCATTATCGCCAACACATGTCGAACATTGCCTCCTGCGAGGCCAACTCCATTTCCCTGCTCTACTACAGCATTCTAATATTCCACTCATTGGCATACTTCTCCTGATAAATGAATCTTATCTAGGCCCAGTCTATCTTCAGCTGTGTCGCTGAGCGGAGGCGTCAAATGCAGTGGAACGGGTCACCAGCTGAACCGTAGAGAGGCTGTCCTGAAGACTCGGCAACAACGCAAACTCTTACGAAACAAGGCCAAGGCCATCGGAATAGAAAAAGAGGAAAGCCATCGCTGTACCTTGAATGCTTCCAATAAAGGTACTCGACAGTTATACATCTCTTAGTTATCGGGGAAGGCTTTGATACGAGATACAGGCTTCACATGGCGGGAGGGTCCTGCTGTCTCTATTGCGCTAATGATGCGTCCAAAGACTTCATCTGCTCTGCAGAAAACATACGATGAATGCTATCTGATGTGCTCGACAGCTGTGTTCTTCGAAGGCCAGGTGCGTGTTCTACCGTTGACTTACTTGATGTGTGTTTGGAAGGACGGCTTATCCCCCCCGTTGCCCTTCCGGTCTCTGAACAACCCCGTCATGTTCTCTTATATATCCCGTCACTATTTATCCAATTTAGCATCAGCTGACATCCCCGCTGTCGTTGCTGGACCAGAGCAATGAGTCGGAAGCTCTTCGATCATGGCGCTCTGCCCTTGATACCATCTACAACTCTCGAATTCCCTCTACCTATATCCCCAGAACTGAAACCGAGAAGGTCCTGTACGATTCGCTGAAGGAGCTGGAAATGCAATCCAAAGAGCGCATCGATTTGCTAAATGCGCTGAGCGAAAGTCGTAAAGAGGCCGGCATCAACCAGGAGAGCTGCTGTGAGCAGGCGGGACCCAGCAATTCCCCGGGCGCACAGGAAACCGGGAAGGTACACCTGAACACACAGGAATCATCACCAAGCGGATGTACCGCTTCCGGCTGGTTTGGAAATGGTACAGTGCCAACCTTTACATACTCGCAACTCTCGCGACCGCCTTCACGACCTTCTCCCCCTTCGCCGAATAGGCGGCCGTCTATACCTCAGAGATATAGCGGAGAATCGATAGCACGGCCAGGATCGAGCAGGGAGGCTGCTTGTGGACCCCGTTTCTCTTCTTCTCCATCCCCATTGCCCCATTATCTCCTGTCTGTGCCATCCGTGAATTCGCCATCGAGAAACTCAAGTCCGGAAAAGAGGACTATGTTGACAACTCTGCGCAGCAAGGAGCCTAAGAAGAGCACCAATTCGAAAGATAAAGATTCCGGCGAGCGGGCTGCCTCTCAACCTGCTCCATCGGCATCTAGAGCTGCGGGTTTGGCGTGGAGCTCTATTGCCCGCTTTGGCAGAGAAAGCGTTGCTACATCCACTCCTAGGAGAAGTGCACCAATAGAATCGAGCTCACGGAAAGGATATTTCTCCAGTATCGACCTGTCTCGGCATTCAAAAACATCATATATTTCAGACTACCTACACTCATCCAGTCCATCAACCTCTCAGTCCCAGTCTAGAAACCATCACAACTCGAATATTGTTTCCAGTTCCCTAGCGACCGATGCTGCAGCCACCGCCATCCACAATAAACCCTCCGAATTAGATCTCCTGATTGATCTCTCTGACCCTTCTCCAGCAAGCCATACGATGACGAACGCAAGAAGGACATCACCCAATACTTCTACGTCGTTCCTATCTACAAGGCCAAAACATCAACCCGATTATTTGTCACAATTAGAACCATATCTGGAACAGAGACCTCCCTCCGGACAAGGCAATATTCCTCCCCTTCAACGCAATAAGCCATGCTTAACTTCACAACCACAGCTACTCAGGCATCACTCAAGTGAAACTAGTTACACACCTTTGCAAACACTCGCAACTAGCTCGGGGACACCTGTGGCCCAAAATAGAAGCTGCAGGCTATGTCCGTCGAATTCCAGGCCACAGGTAGGCAATGGTGACGATGCTTTGAACGGTGCGATTAGTAGCATGCGAAGTGGTATGTCTATAACACAAGGGAAGCCGACAGAGAGAGCGGGGGCGGAGTCCCATTCTCAATCTAACAATCTCTCATTCCCCAATGAAAGAGATTCGTCAGATACCGCAGGTCGCAATCGAAGCGTTGAATACGTTATGAACAATCTCCCAAAGGGCATTGACGAGGGCGCTGCACGACAGATCTTGAACGACGTTGTTGTTAGGGGAGATGAAGTAAACTGGGATGATGTTGCTGGGCTGGAAATTGCTAAAAACGCCCTCAAAGAAGCGGTCGTATATCCATTTCTACGGCCAGATCTATTCAGTGGACTCCGTGAACCTGCTAGGGGAATGCTCCTCTTTGGGCCCCCAGGTACGGGGAAAACCATGTTAGCGCGTGCTGTGGCAACAGAGTCGCAGTCAACCTTCTTCTCGGTGTCCGCATCAAGCTTGACCTCTAAATGGCACGGCGAGAGTGAGAAGCTTGTGCGTGCCCTTTTCGGCCTGGCAAAATGCATGGCGCCATCTATCATATTTGTTGACGAGATTGACTCTTTACTCTCCGCACGGTCCGGGTCTGGTGAAGCGGAAGTGTCACGGCGCACTAAGACGGAGTTTCTCATACAATGGTCTGACTTGCAGCGGGCAGCGGCTGGGCGGGAGCAGTCGGAGAAAGAGAAAAGGGGTGGTGATCCAAGTCGGGTGTTGGTGCTTGCTGCAACGAATTTGCCGTGGGATATTGATGAGGCTGCCCGACGGAGGTTTGTGAGAAGACAGTATATCCCCCTGCCAGAGCCGGAGGTGCGGAAGACGCAAATCGAGCGTCTGTTGAGTCATCAGAAGCATGAGCTGTCGGCCGAGGATATTGAGGTTCTCGTTAAAGATACTGATGGTGAGCTTTCTGATTTATACCTTCAATTTCTTCCTTCCCTTATCCCGCACTATCGAAACAATACGAAAATTGCAAACCATTGCCCATATCTCCCTCCAATCAACATTCCCAGCCCATTTGAACATAGTCACAGTTCCTAACACATATCCCATACTCAGGTTTCTCCGGCTCCGATATAACCGCCCTAGCCAAAGACGCTGCCATGGGCCCACTCCGCAACTTAGGTGAAGCGCTCCTGCATACCCCCATGGATCAAATCCGGGCCATCCACCTCGAAGACTTCAAGGCATCTCTGTGCTCTATCAGGCCCAGCGTTAGCCGTGACGGTTTGAAGGAGCATGAAGATTGGGCGCGGGAGTTTGGTGAAAGGGGTGGCTGAAGATCAGTTCCGTTAAGACGTATCCATACCTTCTGGTGAATGTTGAAAGCTATTATTACTGCTCTACGATTTGATGTATGACGGATTGGTGTTTTGGTATAATTTTATAAATCTGACGCAAAAGTTAGATGAATGGAGTGGGGATGGCTCTGATGGATCAAGGCTTGGTTTAAGCTCCCTTTTTTTTTTTTTTTTTTTCCCTTGATGTGGATGGAATGGGTTTCGTTCCATCACTTGTGTCGTCGTGTTCGTGTTTTTGGTATGCGTGGAACTTGGTAGGGGGGCAAACGTGATTGAGGGTTGCTTAGGTTTTTTGCTCTCTCATATCAGGCGTTTTTCGATATCCCGGCCAGGCACCCTATCTTTCTACGGGGCGCCTGTAAAGCATTTATGTGGGTTTGGCGTTAATTGGTTAGTGGTTTTTTGCTGTTTATATTAGCATTAAGGCTCTCTCACTTCAGTTCCTTTCTTTCTCCTTGTTCGTTTTGCATTGTTGGATTGCGGTCGGTTTACTCTTCTTTAATATACATTACATTTTGAAGATTAATCATGTAGGGATTTCTTTGACAGCTTCAAATGACTTGTTTTGATTATGACTGGTGAGCAGATAAACCATGGTATATGTATGTACATTTGAGCTCTCCCATTGGAAGATAAGATGTCCATGGATGTCGACGAAAAAGAGAGGTGGAACTAAAAGAGAAATGTAGGGTTTAAAATGTCCTATTCTGAGCTAGACGTACTGCACATATTGAGACAAAATGAAGAGACAAAATTACAACCACATATTCACTCAGCCCTCCATGGCATCCATTGCTCCGCCGCTAAAATCAGCTATTCAGCACAACTCACCCCAAAACCACGAAACTCACTCTGCCCCTTTCTCCGCCCTCTTCCTCTCAATCTCCAATCTCATCTCAACCAACCTCTTAATCCTTCCAACCCTCCTCTTCTTTCCCTGCTTCTTCTCCTTCTCAGCCTTAATCATCTCCCTCTCCTCATAACTAAGCACCCTGGGCCTCTGGTCCACAGGAATCGCAAACGGCGTCACAATCCTCTCCACAACATGCCGCACATTCTTGCTCGTCCGCCACCCGCTCGAGAACTCAATTACATCTCCCTCACGCAGTGAGTTGCACGGGTCGTGCACTAGGTATATCGTACTGTCCGGGAAGTTTTTGTGAAGCTTTTTGTGGTAGGTTGGATGCTTGTGCAGGACACGGACGGTCTTGTCCATGCGTCCGGCCGCGACAACTGTGCCGAACTTTATAGAGTGGGGAGGGCGGGTGTGGACGCGCTGGGGTTCTGTCAATGATGATGATGATGATGGTGGTGGTGGTGGTGGTGGTGATGATGATGATGATTGAGTTGTCAATTGTGGTGGTTGTGTGGTGGTAGTGGTGAGGCTCCGGCGGATGGTTTGGGGGCTGTGAGGTTGCAATTGCATAGCGGATAGTAATGAGCATACGGAGGCAGCGAGGGTAGCGGCATTGCGGCTTTGGAGGAAGATGGACGGCCGCGCGGAGCGGAGGAGTGTAGCTCTGGGTGTCATTGTTGCGATTCTTTCACACTTGGCTATTGGAAGCGGATATTTATTCTTCTATTGTGGTATGCCCTCCTGATCGGCTAGCCAGAAATCATATCAATCAGGTTTAGGCCTTTTTACATGCCTCTGGATGTAATTGACGTCGAAGGTTTCTGATGGAAGAGAGGATGGTTCGATTCAGGGACCCAAGCTGGGCACGACGTGGCCCTTGCTAGGAATTTGGTGGAGGAAACAAATAACTTAGTTTAATTTCAGTCTTTCATGCCACCCGCAACAAGAAAATATTGCTGTTGTCATCCAGTCTTCACGTTCGCGATGTTTCTTGGATGGAGAAATTTTTGTGGAGTTGGAGATCACGTGAGTGTACTCGGTTTGCACAGTCAGCTCCATTTAATCTATCCCATCTGAAGTAATGCAGTTGAATTGGCTTACGAGCATAACCTTGGAAGGGAATGCGTAGATGCTGTGGAATACGAACATTAACACCTCCTTAAATCAATACAGGCCTTTGTATGTACAAAATTTGCTGGCCCGGGGGAGAAATATGCTTATTGACATTTAAGGGATAACCCAGTTCAAACGAGGTTGAAACAGGAAAATGAGACAACTTTTGGACGAAAACATTAGTTAATAGCGGAAGAGAGGGAGAGGGGCGGGGAAAGGATTAAAGGTGCAAAAAATTAAGAAAATAAGAAATTAAAATTAAAAACCAGCCAACCGAGCCCAAACCAGTGAAAAAAAACATTACCATTGCACATAAAAAGGTTGCTAATGAATAAACACCCTCCCTCTTCCTTTTTACATCCATATATGCCTCTCGCTCATGCAATGTAGCCGTAACGCGTTATGATACTCCTTCAACCTCTTCTCGCCTGTGAGCCATGATATTATCATTTTCTCTAAAAGGGCTTTCTTCCTCCTCTCCAAATTTTTTGTTAATATTTTGGTTTGACATCTTCAATATCAATTTCCGTCAGGCGTCGCAGGAGGTATGTCATTCTCTTTCCCATGGGACAGGTCGCTAGGTATTGCTGAGGTGTTCCTGAGTCGGAGCTTCTTCTCCCCGTGGGCTGAGATCCTTGTAAGCTCTGAGACGAAGGACTGTCCCCAAAATGCACTATGATAAATAAAAAACCCTTGTTAGCCAAGGGAACCAAATCCATGAAAGAGAGCCGTCCATTGACGCAAAAGAGGAAAGTATTGGCAAAGAGAGAACAAACCTTGTGTATTTCGAGACATATTTGTCTAGCTTGGAGAAGTTAAGGGCACGCTGTTCATCGCTCATTGTCACCGCCTCTTGGAAGGCATTGGCGAGTTCTTCGGTATTCCACGGATTGACGATGATGCTGCCATTGAGACTCTGTGCCGCGCCGGCAAATTCAGACAAAACTAGACAACCGTGTCGTTTCTTTTGGGTTGCTATGTACTCGTAGGAAACAAGATTCATACCGTCCCTGGTCGACGAGACGACGCAGACGTCCGAAACGGCATAAAGCGCAATTAGTTCGTCGAAGTTCACTGACTTATGCATGAAATGGATGGGCATAAATTCCACGGTGCCTTTGGGGTTGAGAGTCAGACTAAAGTTACTAAACAGAAAGGGAGGAAGAAACAGAAACTTACCAAATTTGCCATTGATTCTCCCAACAAGCTCATTGACGACAGCTCGTAGATTTTGATATTCCTCTACATCTTGTCTGCTAGGAACGGCAACCTGAACAAGAACCACTTTGCCAATCCATTCTGGGTGATCGGTTAGGAAAACTTCAAGGGCATGTAGCTTTTGCGGAACACCCTTGATATAATCCAACCTATCTACCCCGACCATCAACTTGACACCTTGGAACTTTTGTTCTAGGGCAGCAATCCTCTTTTGAACCTTCTCCTTTTTAAGACCTTCACTGAATTTATCTGGGTCAATACCAATAGGGAATGCCCCTACTGCAATGACTTTGCCTTGAAATTCAACGCCATTTGGAGTCGTCGATAGGCCACTGTTATTTGTGTCAGCGCTCCGGACTAGTCATGATTCTAAATGTGCAAGGATTCCCGTACAGTATTCTTGAACAACTACTTAAGAAGTGTCGTGCATAGTCGTAAGTATGGAATCCAATGAGATCACAATGCAGCACTCCCAGAAGCAATTCGTTTCTGACTGGCAAAATTCGATATATCTCACTGCTTGGGAACGGTGTGTGTAGGAAGAACCCGATCTTAACATTCTTTTTCGACGTCCCAATCTCTTCCCGTAACATCGCCGGCAGCAACATTAAGTGATAGTCGTGGACCCATACGAGGTCACCATCTTTAACATCATTCGCGATTGCCTTCGCAAAAAGGCGGTTTGCGTCACGATATGCAAACCATGCTGACTCATCGAACGTTATTTCACCAGGATGGTAGTGAAAAAGGGGCCAAAGTATCGAATCTGGTTCATAAATTGGTAGAAGAGATGATTAGGAATTGATATCAGAATATCTTTTTCTTTTTCTGTTTGGGAGAGGTTTGCAGCAAACAGGGCTCAAAGAGAGTATAGGAAACAGCTGGACGACAACGAAAAACCTACTTGAAAATCCGTTATAATGTTTATCCGCCAAATTGTCATCAATGAGCACAGGCACTGCATCATATTCCTCGGCTAATCTTTTCTTAAGAAGAAGTATTTCGTCCTCCGGGACCTGCAACCCAGGCCACCCGTACCATTGGAATGTTGTTGATTTCGATAAGCCGCTCAACCCGCTGACAAGACCTCCCGACGACATTGAAAACTCATATTTGCCGTCATCGGACCGTTTTATTGTAATGGGTAGGCGATTGGGAAACAAGGAGCAACCGGGCATCATCTTTTGGAGGAGTTATCAACGGAGGGCATGGGTACATGTCCTTCAGGATGCCGCGGTGGGGCAAAGACGTTCAAGAACTATAATAGAAGCTGAAAAGCGGGAGCACCACTTGAGCTATTGACCGTAAAGAGAAATAGGGTTAGGTTAAGGTCGTTGGGGGGGGGGGGATCTAATGTATCTAGAACTGAAGTTGAAAGTTAGGTGATGTGAAGGGATGAATGTGGATTGTTTGTCTCTGATAACAAGATCCGGGAATGAGAAGTAAGGTCCCGGGCCCACGTTACGTACCAGAGAGGGGGAAACTGGTTTAGTTGTCAAGAACTGGGGAAGGCAGGAATCTGCACCACTCCCTTGACAGATCTTGCAAATAAACGTAGACGGAGGTGAGGTAATTTGCGGTCCTTAAGCTGGAGTTGAGCTTAAAAAATCGGCATAGCAAGGAGACGATGAATGGGGAGAAGATCACCCAGGAGTGACTTCATTAATGTAAATAAGCACCCGGGATCAAGCAGAGCAACACAATTCGTGAGTTACGGGGTAATTGGAGAGGATAGCCGCAGTTAGCCCAAGTGTGTGGTAGGGTAACACTACCTATCCATGGCATGCGGTCATTCCAAAGATTCTTGGATGTTGGATGTTGGAATGTTGACGTCGTTTGCCCAGACCGAGCGGGCACCTGACCGCGCCAACCCTAACTAGTTCATTATTTTAGTTACTCGTCCCTGAATTAAAACGGTAAAGTACATTTTGTGTGAGGACACATGTTAAAAATACTTCGACAAAATAACTAATTTCATCAACCGCCAAAATCAGATATAGGCATGAAACAGATAATAATGTGCTAAGGTGATATTTTTCATGAAAATAGCTCATTTTCTCATCTGAAAAAAACACAATGAAATTTTAGTTATCATAAGATTTCTTGTTATTTAGTCTATCTGAATCTATATAAGCTTATATCTAAGATGTTGATGAGGGCATTATAGAAACTGATGTTTGCATCTTTATATGTGATTCTCATAGTTACATTGTGCGGGTTTAAAGCAGAGGCACAATTATTTAGTCACTTAGTTGGCTACCATCTGGACTGAGAGAATTCACAGGACCAAGATTCCAATCTGGATCTATGTGAAAACTCATAGTTGAAAGTTCAATATGGCCACTAGATTGCCGAATTCAAAAACAATGACGATTTCGAAGGGAAAACAATGCAACCAGATACATAGGCAGAATTTAAAAAGCCTAAGAGATAAGTAATTATATATATATTTAATCTAAATTGACAGAATAAGAGCCAAAAAGATAAAAAAAAAAAAATCACAAAGATATTTTCCCACCACTAACCTTCCACCGCCCAGATATTCTATCCGACGTCACCTTGCCCTCATTTTCCAGCTTCATCAATGCCTGGATCAGACCATGCGAGGCGTGCATGCGTAACTGATCTGCGATATCCGGATAAATAACTGAAACCAGCTCGTCTGGCGACATAGCACGAGGTTTATACAATGCTCCTCCTGTACCTGGGTTGCCGCTGTCTAGACTTCCAAACCTCAACACTCGCAGTATCTCTTCCTCCCTCTGCCGTCGGTGCTCAATGTATTCAGTAATCTTAGCTTTGCAGTCTTCAATCACAGCTCCATGTCCAGGATATCCCCTGCTAGCACCAAGGTTACGCATCTTCTCCAATGTTGCAATGTACACAGCAAGGTCCTCGAAAACTGCAGTGCCATGACCAAGGACGTCTGGATGAGAAACGCAATAGAAGATAAACATCAGCATATATATAGAAGAAAAATCACACTCTTCACAGCAGAGCAGAACAGGGCTGGGTTTGGTAGTCGAGCACCGGGAAAAGACTCACTATCACCCGTAAACAATGCATTCTCCTCTTCCAACAGAAACGTGACATGGTCCGTTGTATGACCGGGAGTATGTATCGTTCTCAGCGTCGCACCCTCCACCGTAAAAACCTGGCCGTCCACAATATTCAACTCATCCCCTTCCCCATCGTATTTGTACACTTTAGCATTGGGACAAATCTCCAACAAATCCAGGACACCTCCAACATGATCTCGGTGCCAGTGCGTCAGGAGTGCTTGCTTCACAGTGGCCTTTTCGGCCTCCAGGACCCCCCTTAGCGAGGCAGACCAGCTGGGTTGCCCTTCACCTGTGTCTATCAGAAGACGGTCTCTGCCTTTGCCGATAAGATAGGTGTTTGTCCCTTTGTTTTGGTGAAAATCGGGAGGGTTCATGTTAGCGTTTTCGGCATCTTTGAACAGGGCGTGATTCCTGATTTGATATCAGAATACCCATCTCTCACCTTGTAATGTGAACTATAGCAAGCAAGGATAGAGTTAGCCCTTCTTTCAGATCCATAATATCAGAATTTCTGCATCATTTCCAGGGGAGTTTTGAAGATATGTAAAATAAATACCTTCCCTGGATTCCCGGCCAACAGCCTGATCACTGATCCACTCAACCTCTCCACCTCCGGCAGCGAAATGCGTTGTGCAGCCATCTCCCCCTCCTTCTCCCCTTTTGCTGCTAATGGATTTCACCCGTCTTCTGCCTAGGCGTCGCATTGAAGTTAGTCGAAGAATGACAAAATTCTCGTTTCCCAGAACTGGGTTTTTATTTTTTTATTATTATTATTATTATTATTTTTTTTTTTTAAATGTATGTGTGTATCCTCTGGAACAGACAACCAATTTCTAGTGCAGAGTCTCAGAGTAAATCGGCCCCTCTGACTGCGGCAAAAGAGTGGTTTCCAAAACCTCAATTCGAACCACGACAGGGGGTGTATGTGTATAGAGTTTATAGTCACAAGCAATATCCACCTCAGCTACTAACCTCAGCCTTAACCCCGAAATACAGGTATAGGACTTGGTACCCCTTTTGCCGAGTTTTAGTCTAGAGTTTTGCTCGGTCAAATGATTCTGTATAAAAGGGAGGTATGATGGATGGTAAATTCCATTCACAGGAAACGGTAGATAAACAATCAAGTTCTTGTGAAGAGAAAACAATGAGAGATGATAGACTGTCCTGCTGTTAACCGGCGGGGAGATTCGAACTTCCGCCCAGCAAGATAAAAAAAGTCTCTGCAATACAACCAATGCCCGATTTCATGTTCAGAAATCGGGAATCATACGGTAACTTACCTTCTAAACTCTTTCAGAAGGCCATTTTAGGCGTCCGAGTCACTAAACTCCCCGCAATTTCTAACAACCGCGGGTGTATTAGATACATGTATCGTACACATACAGAACAAATACATGGTTATCTCCCCACTCCAACAACCGAGGAGGCTTTTTCCGGCCGCCGCCATCCATTTAAGCTCCCCAATCCCGAAACCCAACATTCCGAAATCACAACCCCTTTGGTTTCAAAGTTCATTCTCTCGGATTCGATGCATCTCCATCAGCTAACTAAAAGAAATGAGCAAAAGAAAAGTTAAATGTTTTTCAACCTCCAACTCGAGGATTGTATCTCGGGAGGAGGAGACAGAACGGCCCTCGGCACATCTGGATTTAGGTGAAGTTGCGTTCGACCGAGGCTATTTTGGTGGCACGGTTAGTTATATCAGTAATAAGCAAGCAAAACAAATGGGAGAGCTTGGCAGGAGATCATGGAACAATTTGAATCAATCTTTTTGCTTGGTGGTTTTTATTTTGACCATTCGCAAATTTGTGATTTGTAATGTAATAGATGAAATGATGATCTTTTATTTTTTTGTGATCATAAATGGTCTTCCCTCTCGTTTAATATCAGCTTCCTGAAAACAATATGCTGACAGGCTCGAGAGAGAGAGAAAAGAGACCATGTGGAAAGAGCAAAATCAATGAAAAAGACACGGGAATACAGTAGCTGATTTACGTAGATATATACACACATATGACAAAAGAAAGTGGAGAAAGGTGTGGATTTAATTTCGTCGAGCAAAAGGAGACAAGGGAAAACACACTCTTCAAAACGTTAGGGAAATAAGGGTTCAGCTGATACATGCAAGAGGTAGTTCTTAAAAGGAGGATGAAAAATGATAAGAAAAAGAAAAAAAAGAGAAAGGGGTTTATCAAATCGCCAACTTTAAAAACTTTTCCCCCAACCGCCCACGTTTTCGAGGCACTCGTGGCGCTCAAAATTGTCCCCTCGATTCAAACTTGCATCGATCGATAGCACAAGTTAGGTGTCCGTGGCAGCATGCAGATGCAGGAGTGAAAAAGGAGTGTCCTACGACACCTCTCCATCGTGCACGCAGCGGCGGAGAAAATGCTCCCCTTGTTCCTGAATTTGCGCTTATCTTCTTCTTTGCTCATAACGGTTCAACCACTCCCACACACAAAGGTCCACATCCACCCCACATGCCTAGAGTCATCCGTTTCGATGCGTTTTACAGAAAGACACAAAACATATGAACATTATTCATACATTTACGAAAGGAAAACAAGATACCACCCCAAACTTTCCTTTCAACCTGTATGTCCTTCAAACCTCCTTTACTTTTTATTTTTTTTTTAAAAAAAAAATAAAAATAAAAATAGTCTTTTGCTTCGTACGCCCTGATAATCTTGGCCCGAAACAAATCTAAGACGCACGTTGCTTGGCCATGGTGTTCAGGGCGCTTCCATCCTTGAACCACTGGAGCTGTGGCTCGTTGAAGGTGTGGGAGAGGGAGATATCGAATGACTTGCCGTTCTTGGGGTGGACGCGGAGGGTGATGGGCTTGCCAACGGCGAGCTCGGTGCACATCAGGTCAACGGTGTCATCGGGCCGGATGCGGTCGTAGTCGGCTGGGTCAGTGAAGGTAAGAGGAAGCATACCCTGCTTCTTCAAGTTGGTTTCGTGCTGGAAGAAATGGGGAGTGGGATGTTAGTAGCATGTACAGCATTGCTTTACCCTTGACGAGTATGCTTTTGACGAGGAAAACTTACGATACGGGCAAAGCTTCTGGTGATAATGGCGAGACCGCCAAGATGTCTGGGCTCGAGGGCAGCGTGTTCTCGGGAGCTTCCTTCGCCGTAGTTCCAGTCACCGATGACGACCCATTTGATTCCTCTGGCCTTGTAATCACGGGCAGTTGCGGGGACCGGGCCATATTCGCCGGTCTTGAAGTTCTTGACCTTGTTGGCCTCGCCGTTCTCAGCGTTAATGGCACCAATCAACATGTTGTTGGAGATGTTGTCGAGATGGCCACGGTATTTCAACCAGGGCCCAGCCACTATACGGAAATTGTTAGTATGACAAGAAGCGAGACGTAGAAAGTAAAACTGGGAAAGGCTTTGCCTTACTGGAGATGTGGTCAGTGGTGGTTTTGCCTTGAGCCTTGATCAAGATTGGGATTCCAATAGCATCCTTTCCATCCCATGGCTGAAAAGCTTTAAGGATCTGGAGACGGTCACTAGTGGGGGAGACAGCAACGGAAATCGAAGATCGGTCCTTTGGTGGGGCCTGGTAGGTGTCACGGCCTGGGTCATATCCGTTGGCTGGTAGTCCAGCACCTGTTGGCTCCTTGAGCTTGAACTCCTTGCCATCCTTGTCTTTGAGGGTGTCGGTCAAGGGGTTGAAGTTCAGGGTTCCGGCGATAGTCATTGCGACAACGAGATCAGGAGAGGTGACGAAGGCGTGGGTAGCAGGGTTGGCATCATTACGTCCAGTGAAGTTTCGGTTGTAGGAAGAGACGATGGAGTTAGCCTCGCCCTTCTTCACATCCCGACGATCCCACTGTCCAATGCAAGGACCGCAAGCATTGGCAAGGATGACACCGCCAAATTCCTCAAGGGTCTTCAGCTGACCATCCCGCTCAATGGTTGCGCGGATCTGCTCAGAACCGGGGGTAACGGTGAAGAGAGACTTGGCCTTGATGCCGTGGTCCAGAGCATCCCGGGCGATAGAAGCGGCTCGGGACATATCCTCATAGGAGGAGTTGGTGCAAGAACCAATCAAGCCGACCTTCAGCTCCTCTGGCCAGCCGTTTTCCTTGACAGCATCCTTGAACTTGGAGATAGGGGTTGCCAAATCGGGGGTGAATGGGCCGTTGATATGGGGTTCAAGTTCAGACAAGTTGATCTCGATCAATTGATCGTACTCAGCGCCCTCGTCCTCGCGGAGGCTGTGGGCATAAGATCTGGCAAAGTCACCAATGGCCTGGCGTTTGGTGGCCTTGAGGTAGTCGTACATGCGGTCGTTGAAGGGGAAGACGGAAGTGGTAGCACCGATTTCAGCACCCATGTTACAGATGGTGCCCATACCAGTGCAAGAGAGAGAGTTGACACCAGGGCCGTGGTACTCGATAATAGCACCAGTACCACCCTTGACAGTAAGGATTCCAGCGACCTTCAAGATGATATCTACAGCGTATTCATTAGTGAGAGGTTTCAAGACGCTGCAAAAGGTCGTTTACAAGGGGCACCTTACCCTTGGGAGAGGTCCATCCCGACAATTCACCAGAGAGTCTCACACCAATGACTTTTGGGGCTTTCAATTCCCAGGGGAGACCAGCCATGACGTCGACGGCGTCAGCACCGCCAACACCAATCGCAGCCATACCAAGACCACCACCGTTGGGGGTATGGGAGTCAGTTCCAATCATGAGACCTCCGGGGAAAGCATAGTTTTCGAGGAGAATTTGATGGATAATACCGGAACCGGGTCTCCAGAATCCAATGTTATATTTAGCGCAGGATGTGGAAAGAAAGTCGTATACTTCCTTGTTGATCTCATTAGCTCTGGCAAGATCTTTCTCGCCACCAACCTGAGCCTCGATCAAGTGGTCGCAGTGGACACTGGCAGGAGTAGCAACAGAGGGCATTCCAGCGGACATAAACTGAAGAATGGCCATCTGGGCAGTGGCGTCTTGACAAGCCACACGGTCTGGCCGCAGCTTGAGATATGATTTTCCGCGGTGGATATCTTGTTCATGAGGATCGTCAAGGTGAGAATACATGATCTTTTCAGCGTACGTTAAGGGGCGGTTCAATCTGCTTCGGACAATATCTAGGTTCTCTGCCATCTTCCTATAGGGAGTAAAGGCGTGTTAGTAGCTGTCTGTTGCACAGTGCACGGCAGCTCCATGTTCCCCAATTGAGTGCAGGGACCACCGAAAGTTAATTGGTACATTCATTTAAAGAGTACATTTATTAACTTTCGTGAGTCATTCCCGTGAAATAGCATGAATCTCCTGTAGAAAGGAATGAAGAAAATGCCATACTTGTAGTTGATGTAGTTGCCCTGTTGAAATATTGTAAGCGATTGTGAATCCCACAGATAAGGGACCAAACCCGCTGTCCCGAAGCTCCCCGATTTAGATATATTGGCCGGGAAAATCGCACCTTCTCATAATTGCACATCTCGACCTTTTTGTCGAGAGGATTCTCGCTGACAGTTGCCAGTGTCCGAGCACCCAGAAGCTATTTGAGGAGAAGAGTCAGTAATCGACGTCCAAGCCTATGTGTAGTGGCCCAAATCGTGGGACGTTATTTAGTGTTTTCTTGGGACAACCGGTAACACATACGTTACGAGATTTGGATGCCTAAACAGGGAATACGTTAGCTACGCTGAAGAACTAATGAATATGTGAGATGCTAAA